AAACTGCATCTCAAATCTTTTGAAGCTTTTGTAAGAAAGTAGTGAAAGAGCACAAATCAGAAATCAGTTCCAGTGTCTTGAATGAGCATTCAGTATCAGGCCATTCTATACCTTGCAAAAAATGTACAGGTGACTAAAGTCTATTTTAGTGACTTTACTTCATGGAGATACCAATGAATAAATATTCCCATACGCGTTTGTTTGCAGTCTATGTCCTTTTTCCTTTGATATAATCTAAAGCTTTATAATTTTAGAATTGTAAAACATTTTGCAGATAATTTCATTGGAGGAGGTTAACTGAATAGAAGTATAATATTTTGCCAAAAAACGGAGTGTCTTTCATAAGTGGATATTAATTAATTCTCTAATACTACAGATTTTACATGCTAATGAAAGCCTTTTCTGAAAATGGTAAACTAGAGTTTAACAATTTAAATGTTAAAACAGAGTTTATATAGTGGGAACAGGGAACTTTAACTTTTAAACATAATTTAGTAACATCAGAGGGGTATGGCAGAAATTCGAGAAAAAATACAGAAGCAATTTCTTCTACTTAATCTCAAGATGTTTCTGCAAATGTTTAGAGGCACTTCTGCTGTGGACACCTTCTGCTCTTATCCTCACCCTCATTTTTGGCAGCATGACATGAGAATGGTATTCACTGGTTTATTCTTGTGATATGGTGAAAACCAGTTGTCAGCTTTTAAGTCTGGCATGCAGAACAAGTACTAATATTCTGGGATGCTGTGTGACAGTGGTATTCAGCTGACAGGGAGGCAATAGCAGGGCGTCCGGGGAGGCACATTTGTCAGAGGCTCTTGCAGCTGTTCTGCATTGTGACTTCGCCATAACTCCCTTGCAAAACAGCATGACCTCTGCTCACTGAGACTGTAGATTTGAGAGTTTTGTTTGCCTATAGATACCTTCTTGAAACAGGAGGGGACAGGAGAAAAAGGTAGGAGCAGGCTGTGCTTTACCTGAACAGTTTTAATAGGCTGCATATTGCCGTGGCCCAAAGGTTAAATATCGCTACTTTTCAGTAACTGCAAAACAGGGGCAAGAGCCAACCTACAGGGTGCTGGGGAGTGGAGAGAGGGTACTTAGCTTTGTGTGAGGGTGCTTTGTGTGAGTCTAACTATGCTTTTTCACTTGAATGAAAGCATATTGGTGGAAGCAGGCCTGCTGCAGAGGCATTTTCCTGGGCAGGACAAAAATTTGACGGAGAAGACTTCAGTTGGTGACGTGATTACCACGAAGAAAACCCACCTTACTTCTAATGTACATCTGTGACATCTCACTGCTTACCATATGCAGAGTTTAAGACCTTTTGCAATAATAACTCAGGTTTGTGACTCCCACTCTGATGTACAAATGCCTTCTGAACATTAACCATCTGTATCTGTCTGTCATGAAAGCAAATGCCTTTCCTCCTGCCATATGTAATTACAGAGGTTATGTCCTTTTCAGGGAGTCCAAGTGTGTGTATGTGTGTGAACTGAAATTAAAACAAGCCTGAGTTTGATAACTCTGTTGATAATATTAAGTCTTGGCTGTGTTAAGATCAGATTATGAAAAGATCAGAAAACAGCTGCTCCTCTGTGGGAGAGATCATCTGATGGTTGTGGGCTAGGCTGGGACATCTGCTCCCACTAGGTTGTCTGTTTAATCTCTGCCTCGTCACTTTGTCTCTTTCACTTCATTTGAGCTAGAACATCTTAAGTACTTGTCACTTTTTCAAACTCATAGTTGGGAGTTTACCCTGGAACCCCCACTAAGGTAGGTTTTACTGTCTTTTTCTGCCACACTCTGGTTTTCTTGGAAATGAAACTGTGGTGTGGGATATGATAAGAAACACAAGAGCTAAACCAGGTCCTTTGTGCAATGATACAGCTGAGGGAGAAGGACCTCTGGAAATGTATCTCCAATTCATTTTTTATGCTTCTGCTTATAATCTGTAAAACAGGGGTAACAGCACTACTAGCTCCAAATAGTGCATTATGACAAGGAAAAGACACTAAGGATAACTTGGCTTCATAGATCAATGATGACAATAATTTTTGGTTGATTGGTTCTGACCAACCAGCTGAGAGAAATTAGACTGTAACACGAGAGTATTTGTATTCCTCAAGCCTAACAGCAGAGACATACAGAAGACTATCAGAAAGGTGAAAGCATATGTAACACCTCATTCTTCTATCCCACATCAGTCTGCAGCTTGGGAATGTTCTGATATAGAGGTGTTCTCTAGGAGCATTTGGTGGCTTTTTTTTCTGTGCTTTTACTCAGTTTTGGAACCCATGCACGCTGAAGAGTTGATGATACACTGAGAAGTGGAGGTTCAAGAGCAACTAGATTTATGTTTGCAGTGGTCAAGGAACTAATGCAGATCCCCACCAGTGTTTCCATGAGTTTCCACCAGCTCCACAGAGCATTAAAAAGAGCTTTGATCTCTATTCAGCAAGATCAGCAAAGTGAGACAAACATCTAGGAACTCTTACATGGGAAACTCCCTGCATGCTACATGATACCCCACCTATTTGAGTGGTCTTGTAGGAAGAGAATAATCCATTACTACTACTTCAACCTGGATTCACAGCCAATGTGGAAGTAACTCTCCTGATGTGGCTGCAAGAAAACCTGACCTATTCTTTTTTAACATTTCCCACCTGCCTTGTGAAGTAACACGCAACACACCAGTGCAGGAATGCAATGTTTCTGGGGTACTGTTTTCATAATGTAAATTGGGGGAATCTTTAATTTTGCCTGGGTTTTATAACTGTTAGCTGCAGATAGGGTAATTTTCTTTGCAGATTAAGGAAAGATGCTGTAACATAAATGACTGACTGGGTGTCACTGCTGTGTTGTGACAGGCTACCTCTAAGAAGAGTGATTGATGACATTTATACAACTGAGCCATTATATGTGCTGTTTATATTGAAATAGAACTTAGGATGTGGGCTGTCAGTCAAAGCAATGATTACTTACACAGTTCTATAACAAGTGGTGGTGGGCGCAGAGAACAAAATACCAGAGTAAATGTTTGTTTTGGAGCTTTGAACAGGGCTGTCTCTTTGTTTCCAGCCTGCATCTAGCCACACTGTAAGGATCTATTATGTACGTTGCCTAGAACATGAGGTTTCACTGCAGGCTTCGAGGAGCTCTTTGATACTGACATCAGTATTAAAAAGAGCTTCTGAATCAGGCAGGTGACCTTTCTTGCTCCCCTGGAGCATAGTTCAAGCAAACCTCAATTGTTTGTGGCAGCATTTCTTCCTACCTAAAGAAGCCCCCAAAGGCCCAGTTGCAGATGCCCACTTCTCTGTGCATTGCAGAGGATTTGAGAAACCTGAGTGAGTGGTGTGGATGCCAGATGCCTCTCTGAAGACACAGGACCAGCTCCTGAGGGTTATAAACTCAGTCCTACTTCTGTCCTGGACCAAGTCCTGGAAGTCCTGGACCAAGTCATTCCCTGCCTCTGTCCGCAGGTGTGGTATGGGAGGTGGTGGGATGAGCTTTCTTGAGAGGCACTCTTGTAGATTGGTGGAAGGAGAAGCTGCCCAGCTCTGCATCAGTATTTTGGCACCACTTGGAACACTGCAGGTGGGATAGACAAGGACAGACTGCCTTCTATTCCCTGCTGCCTTCTCCTCTATTAATTGGCTTGCAGGGAAGAAAGGAGCAAGTATCTGAACTCTGATGCAAAGCCATGGGTGTGCTACACAGCCTATCTATTGACCTGATAGGCAGAGAGGAAAAGGAACTTCACCTAGTCTCATACCACTTTGTGTATGTATCTCGGGTGGGAGACACATGGTGAAGTTTGCCATGGCACTGCTACAAGGATGCCAGAATGTATGGGTTTTGCAATGAGACCAAATAGAAAAGAACTTGGGATTTTCCCCCCTCTTTTGCTTGTTAAGTGGAAGAGAGACAAAAAGTGTTCAACATACAATTCCAGAAAATATTTAAATAATTGAATTTTTCATTCTTTGCATTTGATTTTAACTTTCTAAAGCCATTAAGATTAATTATATTTAGAATGACAGTTCCATCTGTGTGCTTTAAGCTGCATTCTTGTTCAAACAGATAGTTTGCACATGCCAAGAAAACAGTCCTTAAAACACATGGTGTATAAGGCTTTTTCTTGTTATGCTTCTCTTACGATCAGCCAGAAAATCAGCTGTCAGTAACAGTTATCATAGTGGTAGCATCTGAATACTGTGTTTTGATGATATTGATTGTAAGGATCTATGAGGATAGCCTGTTAAATATAAAATTGTTTCTAGAATTTGATTTTTATGCAAAATGAAAATACAACTGTACTTGTTCTATCAAGGTGCAATTTTATGACATAGAGAGGCTGTATAATAATGGATTTTTACCATGTTTTCTGATATGAACATACTGACTATATTTTCTTTATTCTTGTACATTTGTAAATTGTACATTGCTCTGTAGCAATTTTACCTATCATTTCCATAGGATATGCTGCCTTATTTTGTACTGTACATTCTGACTATATTTATTTCACTCTTTAAAAATATATCTGATTAAAGAAAACATTGTCTGTAGGCCAGACAATGGGGATGTGAGTACCAGTACAACCTCTGGTTGCACAAATGAAACTATTTCGAGTGGGCTTATTCCTGAGTTTGGGCCTTGCACACAACATTGGGTTCCACAGAAAATCTTTCCACTTTGTCTTTGTTGTGAAAAGCCTGTTGCCTTTAATCTCAATGCTTTCCACAAATCTCCATGTACAAAACTGTGTCCCAGTGTCATGAGGAGCTCACTTTGTTTTGTATCATATAGTATGTCATTTGTTAAACTGAAGTTGGATTTTCAGTGATATGACAGGTATGTAAAGATGTTTACCAGTGCTCTTTGTGAACTTAATTTTATGTTCTTTCCTTTTTGAGGAAATTTGCTTTTGGAAAAAGTGCATCACATAAACTCACTTCTTCTACTTTCTCTTTTCTGTCCCATTCTTCCTCTTACAGACCAGGATGAGAAAGCAGCCGAGCTCAGCAGGGAGCAGAATGAGAAGACCATTCGCAGCACTCAGACGGCTCTCCGCAATTTCCGAGAATTCCTCATTTCCAAGTACCCATCTGAGACCCGTGAGATCTATGTCATCCCCTGCATAGAGCTTGATGCGTATCTTGCATCCTTCTTTGTGGATGCCAGACAAAAGGATGGGTCTGAATATGAGCCAAACAGTCTGGCCAACTATCAGTGTGGACTGGAGCGGTATCTCAAAGAGCACAGGTATGGATACAGTATTACAAGGGATAAGGAATTCAAGAGGTCCCAGGAAGCTCTAAAGCAAAAGCAAATAGAGCTGAGGTGTAAAGGCAAAGGAAACAAGCCACACAAATCCATGAAGCTCACCTTTGCTGATGAGCTTATCCTGCGCAAAAGAGGCTTATTGAGCAGGTACAATCCTGAAGGGCTTCTGAACCTAGTATGGCTGAACAACACTAAGGCGTTTGGACACTGTACGGGTTTCCATGGGTCCACCCTCAAGTGGGGAGATATCCGGCTGCGGGTGACAGAGACTGGGTTGGAGTACCTGGAGTGGATGGGGCCAGACAATGGGGATGTGAGTACCAAGAGCAAGAGAGGAGGGACAGACTCGCGGGTGTACGCCACACAGCACTCCCCACAGACCTGCCCCGTGCAGGACTACAAGGAGTACGCCCAGCGGCGCCCTCCAGCCATGCGCTATGAGGATGCGCCTTTTTACCTGTCCATCAAGCCTGTTGTCAACTTGGCTGCACTTCACTGGTACAATTGCCAAGCCCTGGGGAAAAACAAGCTTGCCAAGATGGTGAAGACAATGTGTGAGAAAGGGAACATCCCTGGCCGCAAGACCAACTTCAGTGTCTACCAGAGCTGCAGCACCCTCTCAGAAGCTCAGAGCAACCAGCTGGTGCTGATCTGCAATAACTTGGGCCAGCAGGCTGCCCAGTCCATGGCAAGCCACTCCAATACTGGCAACTTTATAGTGTCAGCATCCTATGACTCGTCATCTGACACGGCTTGAAAGAACAGTGAACACTTTTTTTTCTTTTCCTTTTTGTTTCAAGCATTGAATTTGTGGTCAATAATACACATCAGCTGTGATTGTACACTATTCCCCCTCAGCCCCCTCTCCAGTGTTAATTCACTTTATAAGAATATATAAACATATAATATATTTTTCTTTCTACAAATAAGTCAACAGAAATAGTTTAGTATTACTAACAGTATTTATAATGTTAATGCAAAAATGAAAGGTACTTGTGGGTTATAATACAAATGCAGATTTTAAAAGGATAAAAATGGTTCTCAGGAAACACAAGATAGACTGAAAACACCATTTTTAACATGCACATATTAATGAGAGTAAATCCCCAGGGAGGCTTACATAACAATTCTGTTCTAAAGCATTTTTTCAACTTAGTATTGTAACATGACCTCCCACAGTGGAGGAGACAAACTTAACATTGGCCGCTGCTTCTTACCTGCTAGCTTATTCTTGATCAGCAAGATCAAGAAATAGGAAATACATAAATGTAAGTTCAGAAAATAATTTACAGCATTTTTTGGTCTGTTTTTATTATGTTTCCTGAGGCTCATTTACACAACAAAAATCCTGAAGTCACCTAAATGCCATTTTTAACTTTTGCGTATGTTGATTTTTTGGGATCAAAATGTTGCTGGTGTTTAGGCTAAAAAGTATTGTTTTCAACAGTATGCAAAAGTATAATGGCAAAACCATTGTCACACATGATTTTACCTCTTTAAGCATAGGTTGTTAGTATTTTATCAGTATGTGTATGTAATGTAAAATCTATTGACATAGAGCACTCTTTCAGTATTCTGGAAAACCAACTGTACAGAAGAATCTGCTATCTTATCCCAGCTGTACAGAAAAATAGCATCAACTGTATCTTAAGCCATCATTTGAAATCCACAAAACAATAGAGAATGTAATGATATTGCTACAGAAATTTTTAAAGAAATTCTACAAAGAGGTAAAAAGCTGGATAAGTTTAAGTGCTGGAGTATAAATTTAATTTAGGTACATGTCATCGGTTTCCATTGCAGATGATGGAAAATATACATGTGAATCTGAAGGCAAAATTTGGACCTTAAAGCCTTGAAATAACAAGTTCTGCTGTTCTGCTACACTACTTTGTAGTGTAGTTGTTCACTACAAGTATGGGAAAAGCACCAACAAACTCACTATTTCAGTGAACAGTTATAATTCTTGACACTTAAAATTAGGAACAGTACTTTTCGAGTAAAGAGAAGTTTAAGCTCCCTAAGGAACTTCCCCAAGCACAGCTAGTGCTGTGGTGAGGCTTTAGACAAGTCTGCTGAGGTAATTGAGTGCCTACTGAAGTCAATGAAAAAGACAACCTTGGCTGACTTCTGCTGGGTATTGGACCAAACAGCCTTTGGAGAGGCTTTCTTGTTTTGCAGTTTTTAATTGTTGTGTTTCTTTATGCTTTTTTGTCAGTATTTCTTCACATTCCTGTGTATCCTTCAAATTCTTTAGATCTGCAACTGTGCAATGACTTTAATAATCACTAATTCCAAAGAAGAGCTGAAAGAAAGGTAACAAATAGAAATAGAAGTAAGCCACCTAGTACCTATAACCTTTTTTTTTTCTGTGTTCCTAGGATGAAATATTCCTGTGTGAGAGGGAGGTGGCAGAGTGTCTGCACCTCACTTAAGCCTTACTGAAGGTATGTTTTGGGGATGAAATAGGTAGCAGATGTGGCACTGAAAAGTCTAAAGGTAGAGATTTCCACTATAATAAATATCTGTCCTCCCGGGAAGCTTTATGCAGGTGACACAACCTGGCTGTGATCTCTTTTTTCCACATGTAGCAAGGCTGGTAAAAAGTCTGGTTTCCTGTGTCTGACACTCCATGTTAGTGTTGCCACCAATTCTACAGTCTTCCATTTGCCATCCGCTGTGTCTCAGGGTAGGTACTGGATTAGTGGGCACAAGCAGTTGTTCATATTATAGAGCCCTCCTTTTGTAACTTGGCTTTGGGTCTTGAGGCCAAATTATGACTCTGCTGAAGTGATGGCAAGGCATGTATGTGACTTGCAGTGCCATGGCATATCTGACTTGTCAGTGAAGGAGACAGAAACACAGATTTCAAGTGAAGCCAGAAAGACAGTTGCCCAGTTTCCAGATGAGGCCAGACATCTGATTGCTCTTTGTACTGCCTTGCCTTTTCACAACAGTGCTTTTAGTGTGATACAGTGACAAATAGTTTTGCAAGACAGGTGTTGTTCTGGGATTTCTTAACAGGTTTCCTCTGAGGACTCATGGAGCTTAGTATGTGCTGGAGTGTGAGCATTCGGTGCCAAAGATCTTTCTCAAAGTACCAGGTGAGGAGAGCTCGACCATAGAGTTGACCTCTAGGGAAGTCTGGATTCTGTTTCTCCCCTCCAGTACTCATCTCAACACTTCCCAGTGACAGCTATTGCAGTATCTGACATAGTTCCCTGTATTTCCTTTCCTGTTCTGCAGTGAGGAGATGGGTATCAGCTGGCCTTTGTGGGGCAGCAGATCTCTGTTTCCCACCTCTCCTCCCCTGCCCAGCCCACCCCTTTACTCTGAGGAGGCTGGTCCCTGGCTGGGCACGTGCTGTGCTGCAAGCAGCTCTTTGAAGTGTTGCTTCACATCAGTGCTTTAATTCAGCCTCAACACAAAGAAGACTGGCACTTCTGGGTTTTGAGCTGAGAGGTCAAAAGAAGCATTTCCCATTACTTTTTAACTCTACATGCTGCCTAAATTGTTGATTACCACAGTATTAGGATGATTTGTGCTGATGTCCAGCAGCAGTGAGGCCACATCTCTTGTACCTTGACTTTAGCAGGGCACATGAGCAACCTTTGCTTGTCTGGTTAGGGGATTAGCACTGGAGTGTGTGTACTTATTGTGATAGCCTCAGTATTACCATGAGGGAGGCCAGGGCCCAACTTTAATTAAATCTGGTCAAGGACACCAAGGACAACAAGAAGGATGTCTGCAAATACCTCAATAACAAAAGGAAAAGAAAGGATAATATGGGCCTATTACTAAATGAAGGAGGGGCCCTGGTAACAGAGGACGTAGAGAAGGCAGCATTACTGAGCACTGCCTTTGCAATGGTCTTCACTGGCAACACCAGCGCTCAGGGATCTCTGTCCCAGGAAGCCAGAGTAAAGGAATGTTAGAAGGGAGGTCAAGGAGGGAGAAATGTTGAAGACATCCAGAAGTCCATGGACCCTAACGGGATGCATCCACAAGTGCTTAGAAATGTGGTGGACCCCACAGCTGAGGCTACTCATGATCACCTTTGAAAGGTCATGGAGAGGTGCCTGCAGATCAAAGAAAGCAAATGTCACCCCAGTGCTCAAAAGGAAAAAAGAGAGCCCAGGAAATTACTGGCTGATTAACCACACCCCAATCCCTGGAAAGGTGAGGAAATGCCTCATTCTGGAGGCCACTTCTATCCACAGAAAAAGGTGATCAGGATAGTCAGCATGGATTCACTAAAAGCAAATCATGCTTGACGAACCTGATTTGCCTTTTACAATTAAACAACTATGTGAATGGATGAGGGGAGCGCAGCAATCTTGTCTACCTCAACTTCAGTGAGGCTTTTGACACTGTCTCTCACAGGCAAACTCAGAAAGAGTGAATGAATGGGAGGATGGGGAGGTTGATTGAGAACTGGCTGAACAGCAGATCCCAGATCTGTGGCACAGTGGCACAGGCTCAGGAGGCCTGTTCCTAGTGGTGTCTCCCATGGTCCAATAGTGGGCCCAGTCTTGTTTAACTTATCCATCAATGACTTGGATGAAGGGGCAGAGGCCTCCTCAGCAATTTCACTGACAACACAAAGCTGGGAGGAGTGGCTGATACCCCAGTGGCTGATACTCCATGTACCCCAGGTCCTTCAGAAGGACCTTGACAGCCTGGAGAGATGGGCACAGAGGAACCCTCTGAAATTCAGCAAAGGCAAATGCAGGATCCTGCACCTGGGGAGGAACAACCCCAGGCACCAGCACAGCCTGGGGTGACCTGCTGGGAAGCAGCTCTGTGGAGAAGGAACCAGGTGGACAACAAGCTCTCCATGAGCCAGCAGTGCCCTGGTGGCCAAGAAGGCCAGTGGTATCCTAGGCTGTATTATGAAGAGCACTGCCAGCAGGTTGAGGCAGGTGATCCTGCCCCTCTACTCAGCCCTGGTGAAGCCTCACCTGGAATGCTGTGTCCAGTTCTGGGCTCCTTAATACAAAAGAGACATGAAGCTCTGGAGTAGGTCCAGGGGAGGGCAACAAAGATGATTAAGGCACTGGGGCATCTCTCTAATCACACACTGGAACAGATTGCCCCGAGAAGACTCACCCTCTCTGGAGATACTTGAAAATTATGTGCAAAACAATCCTGTGTTGTGTGCTTTAGTATGACCCTGCTTGAACAGGGAGCTTGAAACAGGTAACACACTGTGGTTCCTTCCAACCTTACCCATACTCTGATTCTGTGATTATAGGAATAGTTTTGTTCTGCTTTGTGATGTCTGTAGTAACTCCAGCACTGCTGATGACAGGTTGCCTGGTAAGTTCTGGTGAGGCAGTCCCACACAGACTACTTGCTGAAGAAGTTAAACACATATGGACAAAATATAATACTCAAGTAATATACTACAAAAATAAGATTACTAGTTTTGAAGGGCATTTAATACAACCTATTATTCAGTCTTTATTTGTGAACAGTTAAAGGAATTAAGTGAACCCCGTTTATCTAATTACCATTTGTATTAAGGCTGTGAAAGGTAATTAACTGTCTGGGAGGGAGTCTTGGTGGGTTTGAACTGCTCTGGTGGTTTTGTCTAATACTGGTATCATAACTCTTTATTTTAGGCGAAAGAGGACAACTCAAAGTTTTTTGCAGTTTTGACTGAGGGTATCACACCTGCTTTGGCAGCAAGTTGCAAGCTCACAGCGATGGTGTGCAGTTTCCCTGGTGCTAAGATACAGCAGTGTGGCCAGGGACTAGTGCTGCCAAGTCTTACCTTCCTGTCCATCTGCCTAAACAAAGAATGATGGTTTACAGCCTTGGCTCTTGTTACTGAGAACCTCTTACCATGAACTCAAGGGCAGCTGGCAAAACAGTGTCCTGCTCCTGTCCAGAACAGGCTGTATGATGGTACTTGGGTGCAGTGGCTACAGTGAGGTACTGCAGGTGGGTGGCTGCACTCCTGCCTACATCATACTCTGAAGTAAAAGCTGAGCTTTTGCCCCATAGTGAGGCTGTGATTTCCCTAAGATGAAGATAGCTGGCTCCAAAATGGGGCTTGCTTTTCTCTTTTCTTTTTCCTTCCTTTTTTTTAATGCCACTCTCCTTTCTTTGACTTGATGTTAGATCTCATCAGTGAGTGATTTCAACTCAGCTCCCCAGCAGAAAACACAGCAAAAAGAAGGGGGAAGTCAGATAATTTTCTGTCAATGTACTGAGCTGAATCTGCTAAAAAATTGAGGTGCAGACCCTCTTGGGGAGACAGAGGATGGTGTTTGTCTACCAGCATCACAGAGTCATTAGCCTGGCTCAGATACTTCATCCCGTTAGAAACCCATCAAAAGGATAATGCAAATTCTGACTCTTCTGGATCATTTGTAGATATATTAGATGCCTTCAGAATTATCTACTGGCTTTGGGGAGATTTTCTCAGTGCTACCAAGAGCAAAATTTGGTCTTGAACTTAAGATAAGAGGCTGAGTGCCAAAGCACAGGCCTACACGGTGCAAAGGGGTCTGCACTAATCTTAGTGCTGACTTTCCCACATGGCCTTCTCAGGACACCACAATAAGAGTCAAACATGGGGATTATATGTGGATGTCACTGGACTGATCTGGATGCAGCTGTGCACATTACATGCATTTGGATCTGTTCACATGATTGCACATGTAGGTGGGCAGAGCTGTGGACACTTTGGATGGTGTAAGCTCTGTTTTTTTAGTCATCCGTGCATGTATTTATGATGTTGTGGTTTTGCACAATGTTACATGTCTTCATGCAGTTAATGGAAACTGAAGTCTGTGATGCCTGGGTGTCACAAGCAGCTTGTTTTATTTTCAGAAATGTATTTATGCAACAAAATGTATTTTTAAGTTCAGGAGAATGAAATACTGTCATGAACTACACTGTAAACTAAATTTCAAGATTACCTAAAATAACAGGACATACCGTTCACTTACATAATGCAATAATTCTGTGATAGCAGCATCAGGGCTACTGACATAGAGGATAATCTAACAATGGAATCTGTGTCCCTGTTGCATGTTCTCCTTTATGAAGAGTATCAACACTTTCAAGCTCTTTTTAGAAATTCCTATGGACTGATACTCAGTCTCTATAAAATCGTTACCCTGTTAGAAAGCTGTGTAGGGAATGACACACAAGCAGTGTTGTACTGTTGTGTGTTTGTGTCTTAGATGTTTGTGACCAAATCTTGTTCTGCTGTTTGTGCAAGTGATGTGGGGGGTGGTAAGATGGGGATCAGAAAGAGCAGGTGCTGTGTCATTCTAGAGCCCAGGCTGCCCTAAGGACTGAGACAGCTCTAAAGGAAATTTGAGATTCCTGTTGCACTAGGTTTCTTCCTGTTCAGCTCATATTTTACTTTTTCTTGTTATCATGTCTATGTACATCCCATAAGTGAATTGACTGACCTGGCTAGCACATGTGATGCATGGGCTGATCATTTCATCTGACAGCTGCAAATGATTGTGATTGACTGATCTGCCCCAACCCAAACAGCTCCACTCCCCTCACCTTTCCTGATCCTCAGATATTCCTCCTTCCTGGTGTCTGCACTGTGGAGCAGGGAGACCATTTTGTGCAGGGCTGCTCTTAGCTGGGAGCCCTGCCCATCAAGTGACCTTGTGCTTTGGGGATAACACGCTCAGGTGGACCACCTCGCGTGGGATATGTGGGGTTATGGGATACTTTGTGTGAGCACTCTGGAGACTTGCCTCTTGCATGCTGGAAGCACCCTCCTTCCTCCCTCTCCTGCTTTTTGTGAGAGGCTTTCAAGTCATGAAGTGAGATGGAATTTATTCCTTTGTGGAGGACCAGGCCCACATCTGTGTGCTGTGTAGCGCTCCACTGACATCATGGACTGACAAATAGCACTGAGATGACTGGTCCTCAACAGTATGCAAATTCTGGGCTCCCTCAGTCATGGAGAGGAGTTCAGTTCATGGTGCGAACAACGGGGCATTAGGACCCATCTAGCTCCCTGAACTTCCAGAGGCAGTGTGAACGTGTGTTAAAAAAGAGAACCTACAGGATGCAGAACTGTCATTTTGTTTTTCTGAAACGAGCCAGTTCATCCCTCTGGATTAGTTTAGAGAAGGATTTCTCACGATGAAACATGGCAGGAAATGGGTCTGCCCTTTTTAATGAGGGTTGTTTGCTAAATGTCACCATGGTTCTTTGCTGTCCTTGTTCTTAAGGGGCAGGATGTATTTTCTCTTATTTCTCTGCTTTCCTATGTGGGCTGAATTCTGCACTCAGGAAGAGTGGAGAGAAGAGACCATCCATTGTAAAGCACGGCTGTTTTCCTAGCCAGGAACTTGGTACTATGCTTTCTGGTGATGGTCCCCGTGCTGAGCCATGTCTTGGTGGTTGTGGACACTGTAATAGCTGGTGTCTTCCAGCTGTCTCTTTGCTCTGTGCAGAGCCAGCATGAAGGTTGCAGCATGATTCTCCAAAAACAGAGAGCCCAGGAGCAACTTTTCAAGGACACACCTATCAGCTGGGCATCTGCAAGCCAAGAAGGGAGAAAGCCTTAAGCACATTTAAATGAAATTAAATTTCCAAAGAACAGCATTGAAAAACACATGAGGCTGTGCTTGACTTCTTCAAGGGTTTTGGAAAGCTAAGGGCCCCCAGAGTCCCAGGGTTCCACCTCTTTCAGAGGAGTGTAACTACAGCTGGTGAAGGAGTGACCCTTTGGAGGACAAGTTCTTTGAGCCCCCAGTGAGTTGCATGGTTGCACTGCTTCCAGCTGCACTCCTGCAAACCAGGTTCCAGCCTGTTCCTCCCCACTGCACTATGACTGGTGCCCTGCAAAGCCCTGTTGCCATTGTTCTCCAGCACCTTGACTCTTCCTGGAAGCAGCAGAGAGGCATTTACAGTGGAAAATCCTGCAAAGCCGTGAAGCCTCACAGCCCAGAGAAACCTATGAGTTTGTTGAAAAGTTTGACACTATCCTCTCAAGTGGAACATATTTGAAGCAGTGGCAATGTCTAAAGCTTTAATTCCTAAACTGATGTGGGAAAATACGCATTTGCCACAAAATTTTCTTTTTACATGAACTGATGGATCTCTGTCTCAAGAAATTAATTTATTTTCTCTGTTTTCTCACTCAGCTGATTAATGGTAGTTGGTAATGCATACAAAACTCTATTTATTTTATTATACAAATGCCACTAAATGAGTTGTCTGTGCATTAAAAAATGGACTTACTGTTTCAAAGATATTAGGATGCTTTTGGCTAATCTTTTATTCTTGTGCTCAGCATTTATTAAACAGCATTTATTGCTATCTGAAAAACCAGTACCATTTCAGATTTCAATATGATCTTTTGTAATTAAAAGAGGTTTATTTCACAGTATTTAAGGTACTGGTAAGGTAGGTGCTATCTTTGAAATTCAGTGGGGTACTTTTAGTTGAAATGAGAAGAGGTGTTTAGCTCTTTTAAACAAAGCTGTAGGAATATGTGAGTTCTTTTTGGTTACTACTGTTTGATACAGTCTGTAAATGTCAATGAAATAACATGAGAGTCAAGTGAAGGAAAAAACATCAAAAAAATACAAAATGTTTAGGAAAAAATAGAAGACTAAGTGCTTTAAAGTAATTAATTTAACAGATACTATCTTCGCCACTTCAGCTGCTTTTCTTTTTCTTTTTTTTCTTTTTTCCTTTTCCTGCTTTTTTTTCTTTCTTTCTTTCTTTCTTTCTTTTTTTTTTTTTTTTTTTTCTTTTAATGGACAAAAAACAACTCTCTGACATGGCTCATGCCTAGAATTTTATCTGCTTTCTGAAAGTTGTAATCTTGCTGAGACTGCTCTTGTTACCATTATAGCATGTTCTCAGCTGGCCTAGATCACCTGTAGCGTTATGGTCTGCTCCACATTGCTCCTGCTTGCTAGGATTCCTCTTTCTCTTCTGCTGTCACATTTAATTCACTTTCTATATGTAAATTTCCATCCTGAAAACAAACCGATGCAGGCAACATTGCCTGACTACCATCAGTGGTGGATATGGAAGGCAAGGATCAAATACTAAATGGCTTCAAATTGATTTTGATAACTTTTGTGTATGGAGACAAATATCCTAGTGCCTCTAAGGCTAAAGGTGCACTGAACAATGATTGCAGTATCAGTCATCTTGTGGACACCTTTGTTTTCTGCCTGGTGCCTATGATTCAGATCTTGGAAGCTTTGCCTTCTTCAGGAGCTTTCTCTATGAGCAGCTTGAAAGACTGGGTTCCTCTGCACAAGGCTGGATGCATGGATGTGAAATACAGGTGCAGAAGTATTCAAGGCATTCAGAGATGTGCAGACAAAACATGAAATGAGATCTGAAAGCTGTCAGGGGAGGAAATGGTGAGAACCTGATTTTGCACCTATATATGGCAGTACCTGCAAGCTGGGTGGTGCTGCTGCCAGAGAGAATTTGGTGCCACTTCTGCAGAGTGCTGTGAGAAGTGCATGCCCATGACTCTGCTTCCACCAAGTTTGCGCTGTTCCTGCATTTCCTCCCCAGGCGCATGGCTAGCCTCACTGGAAATGAGTCTGAGGTGTGCAGGAGAGGACATCACTTGGCCATAGTGCTTGTTTTTGTCCATGTGGCACATCCATCTCAGGGTTCATCTTGAGATCTGTCCAGGCAGAAGAACTACTCAATACTGGAAGAAAAAGAAGTAGCAGAATATCCAAGTCAAACAAAAAGCAATGGAAAGGCAGTGGAAAAGCCTGCCAAACACAATGGAAGTTTTTGTCCTTTTTTTTAAAGAAGGCAAGAGTAATCCTTATCCTTTAATATCCTACTTTGTTTTATACCAGAATTAGAAAATATTTTCCATTTGTTTTAATTACCTACAGGCTTTAACTCTGTCTTTGAAGAGCATTTTTGCTGTTACAACCCTTGGTATAGTGAGCAGTGCTAGGAGAAACAGCTAACACAAGGATTTTGTCTTTCCCTGCATGCAATGTTTAATCTCTCTAAATTTTTTAACATGAATGTATTTTTTGCCATTTTGTAAATTGACAAGATTAGCACAGTTTCTTCTAAAACAGCAGCTGATAAACATATTTTGCTTAACTAAATTTCCACCTAACTGTGAATTCTCCATAATGATCTATTTGTTCTTAGAGTTGAACCTCTAAAAGGTTAACACTCACTCAATGACTGTAACAACTTTTTTTTTAAGAACAGTTTGTAAACTGTTTGTAGGTTTTAAAATATATTTTGTTTATTAAAAAGATTACACTATCTTGCATAATAATAATATTAATAATAATTCTATGCATTGTGTGATTCAGTGATGTTGCTCTTGAAATTTTGCATGTCTTCTAGATGTTCTGACATTTGTACGTTTACGTGATACTTGTAAAAATCCTCAGCCTTGCTGCTATGATCACCACCATTTTAGGTAAGTGAAAATTGTACTGTGAAGCTGTGCCAGTTAGCAGGATTTTTGTGTGTCATACTAAAACTGCATTTTGCTGATCATTTCTTGGTTTATGCCAGTATTTAGTGCCTTCTGTAGAAGGAATCAATATGTTGTGGTAGATGGGATGTGCCAAATTTCTAGTATCTTGTCTGCACAGATTATCACTTACCAGCTTGAAGCTTAAAAAAAAAGTAAAAGGAAAAAAAAAATTAACTCTCCATCTTTCTTTCAAGTGTCTTCCCATTGATTTTAATTTGGAAAACCTTTAATAGAGCTGAAAGGAAGCCATCATCTCTGTCCACACCTCCTGCACCAGCAGTCTCCCAACTGTGAGGGGTACGAGGGAATGTGTAGCACCAAAATGTTCCCATTGGTAATGGATCTAATGAATAGCCAGGCCTGCTCAAGTAATTTTGGAGCATGCTAAAACACCATTTGACTAAAGCAGTCCTCTGATTACCATAATAGCTCTCATAGCAGTTGTGAGCTGGTTCCTGTAAACAAGTGTCAGCCTGGTCAAGTGGTGGATTCCAGTCTCTGCTCTGCCTCTGTGGAAGTCACACATTGCTGCCAAATGAGACTTGGATGAAAGTCAAGCCCAAGATTTTTGGTCTCTTTTTTTTCCAACTGCTCCCATGGCAGCCAAGCCCTGTTTATCAAAATTCTGACACTGCATTTTCTTCTACCCTCTTCCTAAAATCTAGCAGTATTGCAAATGCACACCAAGCATATGCTTTTGTTTTGATCTTTGTAAGATTCTGACTGGCTGAAATTGTATCATACTGTTCTCATAAAACAAACAGGCAAGAGGGAAATGTGAGATGCTCAGCTCTGGTGGATTTCCCAGCCACCAGGCATGGTTCACTGTACCTGGGCTGATATTTAAGATATTATTTTGTATGGAAAAAAGAAGAGGCTGGCCACCAGTTTTCCATCCCTGTTGAGACATGAAAGCTATCTTGAAAAGACTTTTCAAATCAAAATAACAAGTTATGAGAAAAACTGCATGACTGGGGAAAATAAGAGTACATTGAATTTATCCTTAGAAGTTTTCATCTGAAGTCATCTCTGTCTCCAAGCAGGAAAATTGACAGCCTTTGTGATGTAAAACACTTCCAAAAGATAACATTTATGCAATTTTTTTTCGATTTTGTTGTTCCTTTTAGTGATACCCAGGACATTTTCAAAAGGCGATATTAAAGGATTCATACAGAATATGCTGGAAATCATCCTGTCTAGTGAGTTGCATACTGATCCTCCAAAACGTGATGAATTTAAAACCTTCCACAAGTGATAGAATATTGAGAAGCCTTTTGCAGCACCTCAGTTCTGTCAGGAGGGAATGGGGCTCTCTTCAGAAATGTTAGGTCCTATAATTGTCCTTTAAAAACTGGAAGCTTCTTCAGACTTGCTTTACCAGACAAGGAGCCAGCTGGGACCAGTTACAGTGTGGTTCTCCATTGTTTTGGTTCTGTAGTAGCCATTTACACATGAATGTGTGCTTCCATTAGTATGAGTGAAGAGTTTTCACTCCACAGAACTCCTCCCTATGTGGCCCTAATATTAAATATTTAAGGCATGGTCTTATATCCTATATTTTTTCTATTTGTGAGTAGATCAGAGTCTCAGTGGTCTCATTATTGCACTAATTGTCTTACCAATTTGTCTTTCTGACTTCTATGTCTTGACCTAATTCGCAGAAAAAAAACCAAAAAACAAAACCCGGAGTCAGATTCCTGCAACACAGCAGCTGTTTTTTCCACATCTTCTTCTTTTCCATTTTGAAGCTAGGTATATCTGCATTATCTCCAGCTTAGATTAGAGTCAGAAAAGCCATCAACATCCTTTATTCCCATTTTGCACACTGGAAATGCAGTAAGGGTTCTATAGGTGCAGACCTGATCTAGCCTGCTGCCTGTGGAATGTCAGTCTCTAGTTGCATTTGTTTGCTTTTCACCACAATTCATCAGGTTCAAGATGTAAACTAGATGATATTAATGATGTGCTGGTTTAGATACCGCCTTCCAATCACAGTGATTCCTTCAGTGTACATATTGTCAGTCCTGTAGTTGCATTTTGTTTGATGTACATTATATTGAAGGACCAGTTTTCCTTTTTGCTTTTAAATATAGCTTAGCCCGTGCTGCTGAAAGGATCCAGGAAAGAATTATCTATCCATACCCCACTGGAATTTGGGACCTAGCTTTTTTAGATCTCCTTGCAAGCCCCAGCTGTAATCAGCTATTTAAGGCAGAGATTTTAGTTTGAGGAGTGCTATGTATCATCCACTCCAAATGCAGTTGCCTGTAAACAGGGCACCTTCTTACACAGATCCCTCGCTCCTGCATTACACAGGGCACCTTCTTACACAGATCCCTTGCTCCTGCATTTGTGAGATTAACTGAACAGCAGTTTACTAGGGAGGAATAATATTTTGATGCATTTTAATGGATTAAGCTCTGCAAATCTAGAAATCTGGGGGGAAGCGGAAGATAACTGGATAATTTTCTGAAAATGTGAGCAATATTGTCAACTAGTCCATTTTCAGTTAACTTTGATCCCATTGTCCTCAAATTACCCTATTTCTGTACTTGCACAGCAACAGGAGAAAAACAAGCAAAAAGGCTTTGTGTCTGTAAATTAAGTAGGATTTAATAACCTACTTTGAGCCTCAGATCCCCAGTGGTGTTTCCAGGGCTGGTAATTCTTTTACTCATCAGATGGATAAGTTTTGACCCATGTGAATGTCACATTGCCATGCCTGCAGCATATTTTCAAGAAGCAAACTTCATGCATGGTAAGGTCCTTCACTGATGAAGACTGATACGGTCAAAAAGTTGTCTGTCACTTCTGTCACTTAAAAAAAAAGGTTTTTTCTTGTGATGTATTTTTCCTCTTCAAGAGACTCCACTATTTTTAATGGGGATAGAGTAAACAAATGTATGTTGTACTGTTGTCTGCCACAATGTCTTCTTGAAAAATGTTAAGTATTTGAATACAGAAGAGCCTTCAATAAGAAGAAAATAAAAAGGCTAAGAGTTTTTTTTTTTTTAAGGTGGTATTTGTCAGTTTTCTCTCTTGCTTCATTGTCAGGTAATTAGGCTTTTGAAAAGAATGGATTCAGTTTGTGCTAATTGGAGTATAACATTCACTGTTACTGGTCTGTAAATTCCAGAGATATTCTGATCTTTATTGCACTTCACCTCCATTTTTATTCTCTTATGATAATTTTTAAGAAGTCTGGTTCTGCTGCATTAGAGATTGGTTTCAGTGTCTGTACAATGTTTGCTACTATTGTAGTGTGACTGTATTTTTGATTTTAAAAATTTGTATTGGTACAGTCTTAGCTTACAGAAATAAACACCATTTACAATAAATCAAAATAGTCATTGATGTCTGTGGTAAGTGCATGCTTTATTCACAGTATTTTGTCTATAATTAGGTGTAGCAACCAAGTCTCATGTATTTGATAAATTGTTTTCTGCAAAGTTGACTCTGTTCTTTAATCAAGTGAAAGCAATATATGTGGCATTTCAAAGCATGCTGTATAAAAAAACCACAAGCTGTGTCTCATATTTTCCAAGTATGTGTATCTGCATAGCTGGAGAGTTCCCATGCACCTATACTGCATTTTGATTAGCAGAGTACAAATCAGCTGACCAAGAAATGGTTGCTCTCATACCCTCCTAAGTTCTGGGGTTGTGTTTCAGGAAAACATTTAAACAATTGCTTAAATAAGTCCTTCCCTGCTCAGGAATGTACTTAAAAACAATCTTGACTTGAACCATATGTTCATTTAATCTCATATGGTAGGACTGGAAGCCTACATTCTTAGAGCCATTTTGGAGAGCCTTTTGGAAGCCATTTTCCTGTACCTCAATTCCAAGGCACAATTTGGCCTGAAATTATTTATTTTGCATGCAGAATTTCTGCAGTAAGGTCTACTTTCCCCATTGTTTTGTTTTAAAGTTCATCTAGAATAATGTATGAATCCAAGAATATGCATCTTTTAAGACAGGCTTGTCAGATATGAAGTTGTTCTGTTCAAGAGGTTTTAAAATGAAAAGACCAGAAAGCTAAAGCTCATAAAGCCCTTATATTATGAAAGTGAAAAATCCCAATTGGAGAAGGTCAGAGTGTCTAGAGTTCTGCCAAAGGAATATGAGAAAATGAAAAAGTCAAATCCCCCTGAAAAGTGGTATCTAGGGAACAACAATGCGTGCTGTTTTTAGGACATCAATGCAAGATAGTGCAGGATAGTAAGAGATAAGTGACATCATGAGTGAGGTATAGAGGAACATGCTTTTCACCAGGTATTCTGGGAATGCATTTCTACCACCTGACATATTCTGCTAAAAAAAAATCCCTTCTTGTTGCTTGGTTCTAGCAGCTGGACTGTGCTCATAAAACATGTAAAAAGTATCCTGTCAAAGATCCTGCTGTTGTCCCAGTGACAAGTGGAAGGAAGAAAGGAAGACCTTTGGATGAAGAGACAGGGAAGTGAGGTATGGCCAGGCACTACCGGGTGTTTTCACTGTCTGTTACATATGCACAATAAACCTGTTGGATTTAACTTTATAGCTTGGATTAAACTGAGGTGGAAGCTTCTGTTGGTCTAAAAGTGAGTATGCAGTGGGTGGTTAATGGTCTAAGCTGTTTAATGCAGATTGAGGTAAGCAAATTGGCAAAATTCTGGTAACTCAGCTACTTTCACTTTTCCCTTTGTACACTGATTAACTTAGATTGCCACTTTAAGAACTGCCATGCTTCCACAGCCAGTGGAATGGCTGGATAACCAGCAGCAGTGTGCACATGCTGGGTGCAGCCTTGCATATGAGGCCTTTAACGTAGTAGGAGGAATTTGGCTCAGGCAATCTGGAGTGCTTCTCCAGGGGGCTCTCACAAAAGTATAGAATCTTCTGAGCTCAGTTGTGGCTAAATATATCTGAACATTGTGTTTATAATGTTGCTGAAGGGTATTGTGACTGGAATTGAGGCAGAAGTTGCTGACAGACACTATGGCATGTTGACTCTTCAGATAAACTTTGAAGGTGGAAAAGTGTGGTCTGTAATGCACTGGTGGCTTGCTTTGGTGCAGTGTGTACCAAAGTGAAATGGAAAAAGGCATCTTTTCATTAAAGGATACGTACATTTTATTTTGGTATAGCCTGATGGCTGTGTTAAGCTTCACTGCTTCACTTCAACTAAATAGTTTTCAAGAAGACTAATTAGAAAGGAAAAAAAAAAGTAGTGGCTAAGTAAGATGGCTATGTGCAAGAAAATGTGGCTATTTGTGTATGGACACTTTGTTCCAAGGTCCAAATTCCTACAGGAAGAGGATTGTCCAAGATTAAAAAAAAAAAAAACACAAAAAACAAACGTTTTCCTATTTACCATCTGAGTAGGAGTTGCCTTGGGGCAGTTTTCCTTATCTGCTGTTAATAGTCCTATCAATGCCTTGCCACATGACTCAGAGATAACACTGTCCAGGAGCAGGTGATTAAGGACACACCTCGTGACTCATAATGACCCATTGTAAGATGCTCTGCCCAGGGGGGAGGAGCTAGGCATTCCAACCTGGATAAAACTGGGGATTTCTAGACAGAGGTTCAGCCTTTTCACAGGTTCTCTGAGAAGACACAGCAACTACATCTGCCATCCCAAGAGGACTGCAGCTACTCCAATTTGGACTGCTACCAGCACGCTGGCCAGGTTGTATTCTGACTTTGTCAGTAGTCTTTCCCTTTTTATTATTGCATGTATTTTTGTCCTTTTCCCCCTTTCCCAATAAATTGTATTTCTGACTTGGAGTCTCTCACTGGTTTTGCTTTCAAACCAGAACAAGGATGCACATGCAAAACTGGCAGCACATCAGATGCTTACTGCTACATTAAAAAACTAGAAGGAAATTACACCTGGAGGAGCTTTTGATTTATTAAAAAAATATGGATATTGATCTAGTATCGATATCCAACTGTGACGGACAAAAACTCTCTAACAGTTTAAAGTTAGAAAGTGTATGTTTATATGACGCTGGGCAGCGTGCGGGATAGCTCCCAAATACACACCGCACCTTCCAGGTGATTACAGAGTCTTTTTATCCATACAAGTATTGAATATACAAAATACAAATACATATTCATAATTTTGGTACATCCCATTCCTCACTTCGTATGCTAATCACTCCAAAAGCTATTAAGCATGCGTAGTTTGTCCCTTGAAATGGGTCGGTGGTCCCTTTTATGGGGAGGGGTCCCAAAATGAGGAAGTAAATGAAGTCTTCCTCGTTCTGACATTTCTACCTTTTCAATGCAAGTATGACAAATGAACTCTTGGTAGAACTCCCATTCCTTGTCTTCAATTGGTTTCAGAACAGAGGAGGCCCACAACTGTCTTATGTTCCTAAAAGCTATTTGTCAGTTTTTATATTCTTCATTATAAACCCAGCTAACTAAACATTGTGCTGACAAGCAATTAATTATTAGTTAACTACTAACTCCTAACTTCATCAAGGCCTACTCATTTATTATTCTTTTTTTTTTTTTTTTTAATTAACTCTAGTAAGACATTTCTCTTAGCTCCTCAGAATCTCTAAATGCCTTAAAGTTTACGTTTCACTTTAAGACAAAATCCTGCATATAGCATGATGTGAGTGGAGCTTCTCAAGGACAGGTATTTTGACTGATGCAGTTTACCATCTCTCACTGTCCACATCCAGTGACGTGGACTGAGAGAACCCCCAGCAAGTCTGCTGACAACATTGAGCTATGTGGTGCGGTTGACACTCTGGAGGGAAGGGATACCTGAGATGTGGGCTGCTGTGTGAAATTGAACAAGGCCAAGTACAAGGGCCTTGCATCTGGGCAGAGGCAATCCCAAGGACAGACACAGGCTGGGAAGATAATGGATTGAGAGCAGTGCTCTGAGAAGGACTGTGTGGTGTTGGTGGGTGAGAGGCTGAACATGACCTGGCCAGGAGCACTCACAATCCAGAAAGCCAAACATATCCTGGGCTGCATCCAAAGCAGCATGGCCAGCAGGGGAGGGAGGGGATTCTGCCCCTTTGCTCTGCTCTGCTCTGCTGAGTCCCCACCTCAAAAACTACATCCAGCTCTGGGGCCTCCAACATGAGATAGATGTGGACCTGATGGAGCAAGCCCAGAGAAGAGACATGACAATGATGTCCTAGATTGGGGCAAATTTGGGGAAAACCCTCTGAAAGGAGCCCCCAGAAAACAAACCCCCATGGCCCCTCCCCACCCACCTGGTTTGGGAAAAAATTTTCTCTGAGAGAAGTGGAAAAGAACCTGTTTATTTAACAAACAAAGCACTCCCCAGCACCAAAAAAAAATAACAACACCAGATGACAACAAAACTCTTTCACCACTCTGAAGAGATGAACAAATCCAGAAAGTCTCTCCTGGGAGTGGTCGCCTGGGTCTAGATGCTGGGGATTGCTCTCCAGCACTGGGGATGGCTGCTGCAGATCACAAAATGCTGGCTTTCGGTGTTCCTTGGTGTTTCCCAAATCCCAGTCTGGAGCAGGTTGGATGGTATTCAGGAAAGGAAAAGAAACAGTCCAGGGAAAGAATTGGACTGCTTAGCTAACCTAACTAGGAAGCAAAGGCAAAAGCAGAAGCAGGCAAAGCAAGCAAGCAAGCAAAGCAAGAGCCAGCCAGCCAGCCCTAGCCTTTTCTAGACAGCAGACCATGGGGGGAAGTGAACCAGATGATAACACGGCAAAACAAACCTTCACTTTCAGAGTCAGTTCTGAAAGCACAGAACATAATATCAAACGTAAACAGAACACAGGATTGGAGATACAAACACCATAACGTCACCCTAGGACAAATGATTAGAGGGCTGGAGCACCTTTCTACAAGAACAGGCTGAGATGGTTGGGGCTTGTCATGGTTTGACACTGGCACAATACCAGCACCCCCATGAAAATGCAGCCCCTCAATTGAATGCTGTGAAATGCGATCAGGAAACAGAGCAGAGCAGGCCCAAGCTTAATAACAAGGGGAAAAAACTTTATTAAGCTACTACTACTATACTACTATAAAAGAAAAAAAAGAAAGAAAAAAACACACACACAATTCAAAATTAAATCCTTTCAAAACATGCCTCCTCCCACCACCCAACTCCAACAGTGAGACACAACCTGGACCCCAATCAGGTTCCCACCCTCCAGATAATCAATACTCAGTCCATCGAGGGAGAGAAAAGTCCCTCCTATGCCACAGACCCCACAAGAAACACAGCTGCCACTTCTTGTGTTTCCATGTCACACATGGCACCACCTGGAGAAAAAAGTTTGCCATGGTGACCCTCTCCTTTCCATGCATGGTGCTTTCACCACCAGTTCATGGATGGACAGACTGCTTTTAGGATTTTTCTTTCAAGGATGCTCTGCCAAGAGGGAAAAAACAACAGTTCAGTTTTTTCATTTTTGGGACCGCAGTCCCGCCCATTTTCTTCCTCCCCTGGGGCCGAGGGTCTCAGGAACAGAGATCTTCTTTTCTTCTTCTCTGAAGACAGGGGGCACCACCACCAACCCCACTAACTTTTCTTTGTTCGCTCCATGTCTTTTCTCAGCTGCTGAAGCAGACCTCTTGGCTCACTGGCATCCTCCTAAAATACAGTCTCTCTCTCTCTCTCGGAGAAGAAAATTGGTTCAGCCTATGGCTAATAAGAAGTCCAGCCAAAAGCCACTTCATCATCTTCCCCCCCCAATCTTCTTTTCCTAACAGCCCAGGTCCCAGGCTGTCTCTCTTCTCTCCTTCAAACTGAGGAGGAGTAATATTTCACAAAGCTTTCATTTCTCAAGGAAGGGTTAAAAGTCCTGACTCCCTGGAGGGCTTTGTGCCCGGATCTCCAGCTCCTGGCTCCCACAGCTGGGCACCTTCTTTCACCCCCCATCCCCACTCTCCTCCTTCCCCACGGTGTGCTGCTGGCAGACTGTCGCTGTCTCTTTCTTGAGAGCGAGAGAGACTCTAGGGCAGAACGGAGACATCCCAGATTTCTCCACCCTTCCATCTGCAGGGGGCCATCCCGGTTCCAGTCCCCCTTGGGCCTACCTCGAGCGGGCCGCATGGCTCCCCTCCCCCACCCAGCCACGGGCTGCGGGGAGAGTCCTGCACTGCACCCTGACCAGAACCAAAGAGAGCGAGTTCTCCTGGGAATTCTGCTTTTAACCCCTCTGTGTTCTCAGAGGCATGTCCAGCCTCAATTGGTCAATATCCAAATTGACCTCTTCCTTCCGAAAAGATTCTTTTTCTGTGTCAAACCACGACAGGGCTGTTCAGCCTGGAGAGGAGAAGGCTCTGGGGAGATTTCACGGGTATCTTCCAGTGCCTAAAGGGGTTCTAATAGAGAGGTGTAGAGGAACTTTTTTCCAGGGGCATGGGGTGATAGGATAAGTGTTGCTATAGGACACGTGAAAGCACAATGCAAACTACCTGCTATTTTGCAAGGTAAAAGAGAAAGTTTATTTTCTGACTCTAACTTTTATACTTTTCCAAAGGTGACAGTGGATTGGAGAGTGAATGGGCCACCTCTCCAAAGACATTGGACAAACCACTAGTACATCAAGTCTCTCCACCCCCATGAAGGAATGCAAAACAATATGTTGTTTACAGAAATTGTATGGGAAAGTTTTCCAACAGAATGTAAACTCAGAAGGCTTTAGAAAAACTTAAGAATCAGGGCGACAATAAGGAGCCATGCCTTTTAACGAAAACAGGGTGGGGTTAGCTTAGATATTTGGAAGAAATCCTTTGCTGTGAGAGTGGTGAGACACTGGCAGCTGTTGCAGATAGAAGCTGAGGATGCTCCATCTCTGGAAGTGTCCAAGACCAGGTTGGATGAGGCTTTGAGTGACCTGGTCCAGCGGAAGGTGCCCCTGTTTGTGGCAGAGAGTTGGGACTAGATGATCTCTAAGGTCCCTTCCAACCCAAACATTTCTATGATTATTCACCTCAAAACTCCTAATGTACTACCAATAACTTTAAGTTACACTTGTCGCCATGTCTCCTAGTTTTGCTTGTGGAGGTTGAGAAGGGGTGGAGCCTGTGGCCATGCAGGCACAGCTGGGCTGCTATTCTATATCATCCCCATCATTGCTGGGCTGTGGCTTCAGGGAGAGAAAAAGTGAAGGCACCGCAGAAACAGCACTGCTTTGTTCCATTTCTTCCTCAGGGAAGTTACCAGGAGAAGCACTGCAAATCTTGTCCCTCTTCTGCCACTGCCTGTCCTTTCCTGTTCCTCAGGAAGAATGCTGCTCCAAGCAGCAAGCACAGCTGAGCCCAGCAGAGCACCATGACAACAGTGTGGGATGAGCCATGGGGAATGAAAGTGAGCCTGAGCCTGAGTCCAGCCGAGCCAAGCCTAGTGGAGAAGACCTGGGCCAAGCTGATACTATGAAGGACAGTTGAGCCCAGCAGTTGAAATCAGGTGACACAACACAGACTGTTCCAGCTTTTGGGAGGTTTGTCCATCTTTTTTTTTTCACTGTTCTTGGGGACTGAGAATGCCATCTGGGGAGAGCATCTGCCATCTTGTCTTTGTCTCAGCAGCCAAGCACACTGAGTTGAGATGGCGAACACCTTTTGTGTAAAGCACCTTCTCTTTGGCATACTTTTGTTATTAATATTGTGCTGTTTTTCTATGTTTCTTATTTCATTGCTGTTTGTTTTCAGTAAATTGTTATCTCAACCTATTGTTATCTCAACCTTTGTCCCTCTCTCACTGGAATAGGAGTGGGGAGAACAAGAACATTTTATCTGGAGTTTAATTCCAAGCTGTTGTTAAACGACCACACCATGCAAAATAATAAATGAAACAGGACTAGAGAAAAAACATGCTTTAAATGTGTACATAGGGAAAGGCAGGCAGAAGCATTGAGTGCTGAGGAGATAGGGTGCCATGGAGCCATTAATTCTGTCATACAAGATGATGCCATTTATCTGCTTTTGAAGGAGATTTCTGCATGTCTAGGCCTTGGCAAGGGAGACACTCAAAAATGTCCCTGAAGGCTCAGGGAGGCTAGAAGTTCTCATGTGCAAAGGGTTGCATGAAGAAATGATTGAGTAGCCAAACTTTGCCCATGCTACAAAAACAGACAGCTAAGCTGTATCCTCCTCTGCAATGCCATCCACTGTGGCAATCACCTTTCCACAGCATCTGTGTTCTTCAGTCTCATGGGTCTGGAGCCCCTTCTGGGGACAGGTCTGTTTACACACTTGTAAAAAGAGGTTATGAAACTATTCAGTATACTAGAAATTGGTCAGACCATGTTGCATCAGGCCCCTGATGCTTGCAGGCCAGCAAGAAGCATGTCCTGGCTCACCCAATGAGAACTGAGTGGCCTCTAAAATCCTTGTTCTTTCTGGATAACAGTGGGATCTGCCAGGAACCTGTGGTGTGTGTCAGTGTCTTTGCTGCATGTTCTAGCACAAAAATTAATAAAAGACAATTAAAGATGAGCAGAATCTGTGGATTTTAGGAAGTTCCAGATACTGCAGATATCTTTATCTTCTTTACTTAGAGTAGTAATGAGGGGAGATTAGTATTTTTGCCTCCATAGAGGGAGAATGAATACAGATGGTGTTTTTTCTGATGTAGTGCCACTGAGAAGGTGACTCCTGATTTGCATTGTGAGCAGCAATGGGCTCTGCATGAGGCACTGCCTGTGCTCTAGAAGAAGCATGCAGAGATGGAAAGAAATACCAGAACAGAGATATAATCAATTTTGATGGCACCTTATTAGCTCATCTGGCAACTCTCGTGTTCTTCCTTCACCAAACACATGCACAGTGCAACTCCTGGCATCAGCATGGAGCGGAGCATTAGGTATCCAGACATCTACCATGTGCATTTCAACTTAAATGGTTTGGCATAGAGCACCCACCAGCCATCAGATAATAGCACAGTTGTCTGCATAGATGTAGGGTGTATGTGTGTTTTGGCAAGAAACTGTTACTGTTTTCTTCCTGTGTCATCTCAGTGACAGACGTTTGGCAAGAGGGCTTGTGCCTGCACAGATGGCAGTGCTGTGTGATTTTGCAGGGTTTCTGCCATGAGTATGGCATCAGCTGAACTAAAAACAGAGACAACTTTTCTAGAGGAACCTGCCTTACTGAATGTGAGGAAGCCCAGGTGGAGTGTGTTCACATGGCTAATCTGCATCTCCTGAAGTGTGGTTAGAAAATAAACCATCCAGGAAGATCCAGGAAGAGTGAGACAAAAAGGATTTTAGGGATGAGGGAGCAGGAGTCAGATTTAGGTGCAAGATCTCCTTTATCAGTTACTCATGTACCTACAGTGACACTGTGTTTGCACAAGCAGCCTGTCAATTACACACATAAGAATTCTGTCTTGTGGGACTTGATCTAGAATCATCTTGTGCTGATGTAATTATAACACAGGGAGCCAGTGATTGCATGGCTCTTCTGGCTGTTCCTGGCTGCTTAATGCTTTTCCAAATTCTGTCTGACAGGTCCCAGTAAGAACTCCTATGTACACTCAGTAAGGGTGTAGTTTTGTTAGTATGTCCTGGTGGTGCCCCAACAGTACTCCAAGTACTCCACGAGGTGTTCAGCATAATTTGAAATGCTTGGAGCATCATCTGGCTCCTGACAGGCAATGCTGGGCAAAGAGCTTTGTGGTTTGGTATGCAGCCACTGAAGTCAGTGATGAAGGCAAGAGAGGAATACCCTTATCTTTAAACAGAGCCCATGAGCTCTGGTGCGGTATCAAACCAAGATCCCAGTCTTTTCAGGACTCTTCCACACTGTCCAAGATGAAAGTGATAAACTGTTTTTTTGGGACCAGAAAAAAGCAATTTATTCCAATTAAAAAACCCCAAACCAACCAACCACCCAACCAACCAAAAACCCCCCCAAACCCCATAAACAAGGATGCTATATTTCCTGGAGGAGTTGAAAGCAGGATAATTCTTATTCCAGCCTTTTAGTGATAGAACACCATTATAGATGGTAGCTGATAGATGCTTGCCATCACAAACTGTAGCTTTATTTCAGTTTTATTTTGTTAGGCCAAGACTCCTTTTCTGCAAGCATTAGAGATGCATGCTGATTGCAGTAGCCATTGCTTTCTGCTCTCGCTACACATCCAAGCCCTAGAGCAATTCATGCTATTTTTTGTTGTTTATGAGGACAAGGTTGTTATGAATGGAGAGGGGAGTTTTAAACCGGTTTCTGTCTTTCCCAACCCTTTGGCTTTAGACAGTACTTTTACTGAGGTGGCCAGCACCCCAAAGCCCGCTCTCGTTGCAAGTTGGGATGATCAGTTAGGCCTATTACAAAATGAATTATTTATTTGATAGACACAAATTTAACAGACAGAAGACTTTAACAGATGACTTACTACAAGGGATAAGCAAGGAAACACTACTAGCAGATAAACAATACAGCACGAGAGTGAGGTCCCTGTACTACATCTAGTGAAGAAATAGTATAGATTAGGATTCAATGCATCTTACCATCCAGTTTCTGATGGAGCATACATAGAACACTTCCTCTCAGCTTCGGGAAAAGTATCCATGGAGATGCATCCAAACTCTGTGGGAGAAGCTCTGCATGTTTCCAGGGAGTGTGTAAGAGGCTTCTGTTTCTGTGGAAATTTGTGTAGCTTTTATATTGTAAAGCAGTGTATTTCAGTCAATGATATTTAATTTTTATCTCTCTCTACATCTGCTCTCCAGACCAAGATGTTTATTATCAGCTTGGGGTCTCAGCCCTCTTGGCGCCAGAGATGACCAGATAACCCCCTGCCGGCCAGACCTGGGTTATCTCATCCATATGCACCAGCTGAGGTGTTGCCACAAGGTGTGTAGTGGGAAGGAAAGGAAAAATTAATACAGACTTTAATGTTCATGTTCATGTGCATGTGCTATGAAGCATTCCTGAGTGGCCACCCATGTACCCTGTTGGCACTGTTTCGTTCAGGACTGAGTGGCACTAATAGAAGCTGTTACTGCGGGATACCCAGTGTCAGAGCTCAGCTCAAACCATACACACCACATTTGAAAATCCGGAATATGGAAAAAGCGGGAACTAGGACTCAATTTCCTAGCACATGACAAATCTTGCCTTGGGAAGCCAGAAGCAATCTAAATCTCTGTCTCCTGTTGCAGTTCAATAAATTGCCGGAGTGATACTGGATTCAAGAAACAGCCTTTCACGCCAATGCCTGTCAGAAGTTAATTAAGTGGGATTAATTGCAGTGTGAGAATATCAGTGAGGCTGAAACTGTTATATCTTTAAGGACAACTGGTGTTGTATTTTTAGGATCTTGATTTTATCAGGCTGTTACTTAAAATGCTCTGGGTGCTCACAGAAGTAGTCTCTGGATGAGCACAGTAGTGTGCACAGTCACAACTCATGAGATGGTAAGCAGTTTGAGGGGAAATGTGGGACTGAAAGTTACTGATCCATGGACTGGGAAGAGAAACATCCTGGGAGGTACAAAACTGTATAGAGAACAGCTGGGGGCAAGCAGTGCCTGAACAGTGGCTGTAAGAGGGTTGTAGCAAGGCCCAAGGGCACAAGACGGCAAACCTTTGTCAAAGAGACTGCTGGTGAGAGAAGCTAATCATTTCTGTGAGCACCCTGGCCTCTCTTAGCAGACCTGTCTAACTAATTAGTCACCAAGTTCATAGCTCATCAAGTGGCTGCCAGGCTGCACACAGGCAGAGGAGAAACATTTGCCATGACCAAAGGTTTTAAATACAGCTTAGTTAAGAAAAAATGCTTGCAGCCTACCTTTCAGATGGAAGGAAGTCCTGGTTTTGTCCACTGACTAGTTGCAGTGTGCAGAAGAGGTGGGTCCCTTCAGTTAATGAGACATCTGCATGTGCACAGCAGTGTGCATTTATCACGTGTGCCCTCTGTGTAGCTTTTTTCCAGCAATCTTTCTTGGAGTCTTCAGGATGAGACTGTGAGCTGTCAGGGATATGTGCACCACAGACTGAGGACTCCTATTACAGAAAAGTCCAGAGCTCAGAGGATTAGACAATGTACTTGCATTGTTAGCCTTTGTAGGGATCACCTGTTTCTCTTTCCATCTTGATTTTCTCACAGTGGGTCCTTCAGCTGGGTTTGTGCAGTTCCTTTATCTTTGATATACTACATAAACAGCAAAATCTGCAACAATATAAACTTATTTTTAAAATCGCATCTTCTCAGTAAGCCGCATTATGCCTCTGGGGCTGCAGTAACAGACAGCAGTAGCCAAAAAATCAAAAGTTAGAAGGAGAAATCCAGCATGTCCCTCCCGCTGACCACCTTTCCTCTTTTCCTGCCACACTGAGATAGTCACTGTGGGGATCACAGTCTGTGGATGTTCAGAGCAACCTCTCACTGATGAATTCATTGAGCTGCAAAATCCCATTAGTTTCAGCCCTATAAAAAGTAGACTTTAAAGTATAGTAGATTTAATAAAATTATAGTGGTATCATAAAAATCTTTCAAAAAGGATATTAAGTGTCTGAACATGTATAAAAAAATTCAATCCTCTGCTTTTAGTTCCTGCCTATAGGGCTGAAGCTCTCCATTTATGAAATGCACACTGCCTGTCTTCATTTAACTCATGGTATTCATAACAATGCACCTGCCTTTGGTCCACTGAAGCAACAGGGTCTTCTATTGTTGTGCCTATTAGGGAGAAGAAAGTATGTATGGGTGGAAAATGCTGCTTGACTAGCATTGCCTGTCTGGCTTGAACAGACACCTCTGGTGGAGAGATGCACTGGCAGCACAGTGCCAGCCAGTAGAGGAATTGAGAGAGTTTTTCCCTGGTGCCAGCACCAACTAAAAAAGGAAAAACCTTTGCCTTTGCCATCCTCCCACAGTTTCTACAACAAGACAAAAGACGCTGTGTTACTCCCTCTCTTTTTCTGGCTCTGTGTGGCAATACATGTTTAGCTTTTCAGTAACACTAGAGTAACTTCATGTTGGTGCCTCTGAGTTTTCAGTACATAAACTCATGAGAAAACATGAGGGAAAATCATCCTTCTTAAATTCTTCATATTTTGTGAAAAACATCTAAATTCCTACTACTCAGCAATGGTGGCAGTGTGTCACTAGGACAACCTATTTTTAACCTCTTTCTTTATTTGTTTTCTAGCATATTCAACTAAGCTTAACAATTTAATTCTGATGATGTCATCAAGTACTTGCATATCAGGTGCTGTGAGCCCCAACACCAGCAAGGCTATCCCCGTGCTCTCAGTGTGTGGAAATACTGGTGCATGACCAAAGGACTAAGAGATTACATGGACATCACTAAGGTAGGGAAACTTAGCAGAATACTGGGGTTTTTTTCAGTGCTGGGAGCCAGCCCTTCTGGTGAAATGAAGTTTTCATAAAGTTTAAAAGAGATGGATTTTCAAACTTCTTTATATCTTTGTGGCCTCAGGGATTTTCCAAATTTCTCCCAATAAAATGGTTACCTTTTTTAATTTATACCCTGTTTCCTTCATGGGTCAGCCAGTAGCTTTGAAACCCAGGGCAATGCCAGGGTTTCCTTGTACATAATGCTTGTACACAACCTTAGTCTCATGCTCTATGTGACAAAATTTCCTGCTGTTACCCTAAGGAATGGTTTCTCCTTCTAGAGCTAGCCAGTGTAACCTCAGCATTTGGAGAACTTTTCTCCAAAAATGAACTCCCAGAAACATCAAAAACATCACCCCAAAAATAAGGACTTTGTCTAAGATCCAAAGCATAAAAATCCTGCTCACATTTTTTAAACTACATTTCTCTGTTAATTTTATCTAAGATACTGGCAAGGCAAAAGCAGCTAGCCTGGCAGTCTGATTGCAATACTGACATCTCATGGCTTAAAAAAAGAAGTTGTTACTGCTTCTCGTTTTTTCTCTTAATCCTCCTTCACCTTCTTCTCCTTCTTCACCTGAAAAGTATCCATTTCCATAAGTACCCCATTGCTGTGAAAGTATAGAGTATTACACCCAAGTGATAGGTCACACATATTTGCACAGTCACAGTTCAGTGTGACTGGAACCTTCATTCACTTCAAAAAAAGCCATGAATTTGGCTCCTTTCTTCTGAATCTGGATTTCTACAGCTGATGCAAAAGTGGCACCAGCAAGCGAAATGCATATGATTTGTTTGAACACCCCTTGCACCCCTTGCACAAGTGTTTTATTGCAGTCTCTTCCCAAAACTTTAAGGCTGCCAAGAAACAAATTTCTAGGGAAGCGTGGAAGCTGTTGCAGAGTTCTTCAGAGAGAGCACAGAGAAGCCCTAAACATGTTTTTCCCACCTGTGATGAACTTCCTTTCCAAAAATACATTGAAATACCTTTCCCCTTCCTCTTATTTCAGATCCCAGCAGTGAAGGTGAGTGAACCCCTGGAGGACTTCTATATCACCGTGAAGGAAACAGATGAGTCTGACTGTAGCCACATCATTCTGCACTATCCATCAAGGCTTGGATCAGATCCTCGAGAATGCCGGTGGCTGATTTCTCCACCACTAGAAACACCTTTAGCTCTTCCACGAGAAAGCTGAAGAATAAGCCTAAGGTCTTGAGCAAGGCTGGCATGCCTGGTGCCTGCTCTCACAGTGCCTACTTCCTTTCCTTGTTCATGAGGAAGAGGTGTGGGAGGTGACAGCCCCATAGCCCTGCTCTCCACAGGGGAAATATTGCAGCCAGCCCTGAACATACAAGCCTTGCAGGAGAAGGCAGGCTTAGAGTTTGCTGACATTGAATTGCTCAGACTCCCAGAACAGGTAATTTTTTGCCAGAATGGTAGCAGGAAGCAAGAAAACGAACACAGCCTGTTATGGGCAGATCTCCCATGAGCACAAGCTCTGCCTGTAGTGCCTTCTCTACAAGTACATGTGCATACAAGGGCCCTGACACCAAGGGAGGCCAAGTCCCCCCTCTCTACCTGGTGGTTTGGCAGCAGGTCAGAGGCATGAGGAATGCTTGGTATCAGGAGCCAAGACAGGGGATCTGCTCCCTCAGAGCTGTCATCCCCAAGTTAGTGAGGAAACCTGGAGCACTGTGAAAATTTTACTTTTGTCTCCTTCACTAAAGGCTTTCAGGAAGTTTTTGCATCTCAGCATCTAAGACAGAGCAACTCTGCCCTCTGTCTGCTCTCAGTATCCAGCATCCCAAGAAGTCTCTGTGATGATGTGAACAAGTTGAGCTGTCTTCAAACAAGAGACAAAAGTGGAATGACAGGACAGGGCAGAGGAAGGCAGAACATGCTGTGATCCCATTTGGGGGATGAATACTGTTTTTTTTCTGAAGAACTGAGGAGCAGTGGTCTCTTTCATCACTACCAGGTCTTCCAAGGAAAGAGCTTGGTGGAGAGCTTTTTCCTCACTGGGGGCAGGTAACATGTATAGGATGGATTTTCCTCTCTAGTAAGCATAGCTAGGAGAAAGGAGACTGAGTTTGGGGACCAAGAACCCCTGAAGCTTAAGTGCCTATGCTTTCAGAGCCACTGTACAAAAAATACTTTCTTGCGAATCATATTTTTTAATGGTTCACACCTTTGTATCTTGTTTGTGTATTGTAAATACAGTTATTTTTCATTACCTGATAATTTACACTACACATGTAGGCACTGCTGTAAACTACTACTGGTTTACCAATTAATAAACAAACATGGAATTAATTAACAAATTAATAGCAGACAAAAAATAGCATCCCCAAAGGACAGCATTTTTGGTCAGTCATGTATTAATGTGCTGACCAGGTTTTGAGACATTTTAAAAGGGGCTTATATCAGAAGTCAAATGCTCAGTCTGACAACTAAATTATGTAATTTTCAAAAATTGGTGATCAGGTATAAAAATAATTGCCCTGGACTTCTACAGCTATGGCTTGGTCCACTTTCTCTTGAGAGGAAAATTTCATTTCAGATGGAACTGTGATGAGCCTTTAAGTCACAAAGATGACCCGGAAGACTTAGTACAGAGCTGGGGAGAAATATTTGTTGATGCACAATCAGCTTCTGTTCTAATGGAAAAGTATGGCTGGGTTTTTATCTACCCTGTTGCAGTGCTGTGAGAGGATTGGTGAGGTTTACCATGCCCACTATACAGACATTGATTGTTCTAGTTCTGTATAACACCTCTCCCTTGACACATCAGAACAAAGCAGAACACTGTGGCATAATTGTTGATCATCATTTGACTACTAATGAGATGAAAATATTTCAATAGATATACTTGCAACTGGAATCTGTAACTCAACTGGAATCAGTAAGATCATTACTCCTTCATATGAGTTTTGAATTTTTTTCAATTCCAAGTCCAGTCCCTAAATGCAAAAGAATTAAGGACACAATTCCCACCCATTAATTATCAACATTATGAGATGCAGGAAAGTTAACACTTGCTGGTAAATAATGGATTATATGTCAGACCAGCAAGAACCCTAGCTGTGATTCAGTGTTTTGCTTTGTTCTTCATGAAAATGGTCTTGGTTTTGAAAAGTTGTCATATTTATAGGGAGCTGCAAGGTATATTTTGTTACTTGATGTAAATTTTACTTATGGGGATATTTCTGAAATCAGTTTGATTGTCAAAGAGAAGCCTATAATTTTCACTAGAGTGTATGTATTAGGAAATCCCACAGGTAGATCTCCTGCCACTTGAAACCAATATTGTAGGAAATTCTGTATTGACAGAAAAGAAAAACATAGGTAAGAGACAGGGAGAGGGAAGAAAGGCACAGCACTGGCTGTCATTGCTGTATCAAAAGCAAGCAAGAAATCTACAGTGATGTATCTACATGAACTTATAATGGCATATTTATGTGGAATGCACAATGCATACGGAACACACATCGCAGAACTGGGAGGCAGGGAATTGCTGCCTGATGGAGATTTATGTCGTCTGAGTGAGGGAAAAGTCCTGTATAAATTCTTTCTAGGTGTGAACTACTGAGAGGAGATGAAGCCTCCTCCAGTTTGGCATTATGCTTGTCCTGACAACACATAAAAATATTCACTAGCACAGAATAGGTATTTTCCTGACACATCTTTCTCAACCTCCCTCTTTGGAACCGATCCTCTTCAGATCAGACAGACATTGAATTCACTGGTTTGGACAAAACCAACTTTATTACCTTAAGGGTCAGGCTCTTATCTGGCCTGTGTGAGACACAGGTCAGCTTGGGTTCCAATTGTTTTTTCACCATTCATCCCAAGGGAAGGCGCTCCAGTCAGACTGAGAGCACTGCATTTGCAAGCATGAATCCAGGCACTTTCCTGTGCTATGGAGGTCAGGTTCATATTCCAGGTCTGGATAGAGCAGCACATAGACTGCTCCTGTGTAGTAAACTCTTACCTCTGGGGTTTCTGGTTGCCTTCTCAGCAACCAGCACAGGGTAATACTATTTTGAAATCCCAAGTCCTCCCTTGGAAAGCGAGAACTAAAGCCTCACTGGGCTCTAATTATCATCTTGTATTTAAGGTGACATTTGCACTTCCCAGCACAGAGCTGAAGTATGAGGCTGTCTCAGAGGAGCAGAGAATAAGAACTATCCAGGGCTAAAAGGATCAAGGTGCTCTCACATGCACAGCGCAAACCCATGTTCCAAGACAGCACTAGCAACTCACCTTGCAGCCCCATGGCCCACAGAAGAAACCTTTTCCCAGTAATCACTCATCTGCTTTACCCTCTTTTTCTGACCCTTACAGTCTAGTGGCAAAAATAAGTTTCTGGGAGGACTGTGCAAATGAATTGCCTTCCACTGGGTCAGAGACTGAGGATGTGGCAAACTGACCACATGTGAGATGCAGATGGTCTCTGTGGGTTAAGGCAGAGGAACCTTACATGCCCTTGCCTTAACCTCTCCTCTCAGAGTGCTCTGGACTGAGATGGCTTGATGTGCACTTTATCAGGTGTTGTTGTTTCTTACCTAGTCTTTGCCAAAATCAGGTAGCATCCCTCACTCGCGTCATCAGGCTTCTGTCAGGCCAGAATCAGCCAGCATTTTGTTTGACTTAGCTTGCTACACTCTTCACAATGTATGTCATTCTTCAATAATAATAGAATAGTTTAAGAGCTGCAAAAAAACCCCAACTTCCTCATCAATGAATCTGAATACTTCAGGGTGATGCTGAGCTATCCAATGGTATCATGACCTTTCTCAGCTGAACATACTCTGAGGGTTCCCAAAAGTAACCTTCTGATCCTAGTCTTACTTGCATCTGTCAAAAATTGTGATGGCATCTTGTTTAGTACTGAAATAGAGCTTAATTAAAGCACACTTGCTGTGACATAACCAAGTAGGTCAGGTAAGAGATATTGCTAGGAAGGAACACTAATGGGAGGGAAGGAAGAAGTGGAGCTGCAGAAGCAAAACAGTATAACTGAGAGAAATGAATGTGTCTAGCTGAGAAAAAAAAAATGGTAACTGACAGGGCTAACCACTGAAATTCTTAAGAAATTGCTGACAAGACTTACAAAGGACCAAGATGGTATAATAAACAGGCCAGCTAGAATCACAGGCCACATTGGTGTGGAAAGGCTAAAAAGTAATAATCACAGAAACAAGAATCACCAGGTTTCCTGGCTGCTTTAGGGCTCTGCTGCTGTATTGAGTCGTCTTCAGCCATGCTGAGGGAAGCAATTTGCTAACTAAGACATGAAGGATATCACTAAGGTGGGGTTTTGGATAAGCAATAATTTATGAGGTTTCAGACTTTCCACTGTTGGTTGAATATCACCAGCTAGCTTTAACATATGTCTGCATCAGCAGAAAACTGTGGTGAGTTCTGCTGGACTCAAAATTTCTTCTTATGTCTTGCAGGGATCAGGACATCATACTGACATTCCTGAAGCCCTGCCTCTGAGTTTATCACTGGAATAAGGTACAAAGGAGCATGGGGGAGCATTTCCATTACTATAAATTGATTTTTTTTTTTTTTTTTTTTTGGTGATTGCTCTAGTAATGCTTAGCTGAAAGGAAGATCAGTACCAAAGGCTGAATGAACAGTTATTTGTGCCTATTAATGACTTCCTGGGCTTAGGAACCTGTCTTATGTCAAGACACTGCTGTGTCAGCTGATGAGGAAACCCATCAAAAAAAGATGGTCTATCCAAACTGACAGGTTAAGCAGGCTTGTTTGCTGACAGAGTAAACTGACCAGTTCAAGGTATTAAATTGAAAGGGATGAATCTGACAACGCTGATCTGTGTGTGAGCAGGAGACTGGGACATATGCACAGGCCCAGCTCAGAGGGAGACGTCAGCCTTTACAAACCTCAAAGTCTAGGGAAGTAGGCTATGCTTAGAATGGAGTAGCTTCAAACTAACCCTTCATTTAGATGGGACATAAACCCCCCCTTACAGGGACTACCAAGGGCGTTGGCAAGGCAGACAGTTCTATGCAGGCCAATGCACAGTGTTTTGCTTTCTCTGGACAAACAAGCCCTCTGCTGGGCAGAGTTTGAGAATATATGACTCTTGGTGTGTCTCTTCCTGACAGACTGTAAACAATCATTCCTTCCGACCCATCTCAGTTTCAGCCAGCTGTGCAGTCTTGCTGGCAGAGAAATATTGAGACAGCAGCTTTGGCTTGGGCCTACATGTGGCCATTCCCACTTCCAGAAGTGGCCACTGACTGACAGAGGGAGACAATCTACACCCATCCATGCAGAGAGATGCTCTTAACATATCTCTTCTTAGGGCATGTAGTGATGGCTAAACCCCAGCATAATGGGAAACTTTATCTGGTCATTGTTGCAAAGAACAAAACGCAAGAAAGAAAACTCTTTCCAAATATGGAGTATAACATTGCTCTCTTTCAGTTTCCATCTCTCCTACTCAAAATTTTAAACATAAAAGGCCTGAACTCTGACCTTGTTATCTTTACCATCTGAAAAAGAAAATCAAACCAAAGCTAAAGCAGTAGCTATTAAAGAAAGCAAAGACAAACCAGAAAGCAAAGCGCTCTGTGTCTTCTAGTAGGGGGTGATGAACCAGCTGCTGGTGTGGGATGCAGGGCAATAGTCTCCAGATGATGCCTCACACTACCTGACTAACCAGGAGCTAATCCTGACAATTCCACTGGTTTACTGTGCATTCAGCACTTTTCTTCATCTGCAAAAATGAAGGTAACAGTAACTTAGTTTGCCTCATGTGAGGATTCAAGTAAAACACTGAAAAAGCCTGTGAAGATGTAAAGATGTCTGTAAATCTACACATATTTTTTACAATGACACATATTTCCCTACTTTATGCACCACCACCCAGTTATATAATATGCTAATATGTGCAACATATGTGCATAGTGAAGGTGGTAAGGAAGCTTGTCATTTGTACTTTCCAGGTAGATTTTGAACAACTTTCAGACCCTATTTACAAAATCTTCATGAAAAAAGAAGTATCCACTGAGACCAAAATATCCAGATTAGAAGCCTTAAAGACAACAGATAGAGAACTATGTCACCACCTTTCAAAATTCAATACCTGAATGAACCTGGCAGAGTGCAAAAACTGAGGAAAGTAATTTCCTCACCAGTAGTTTAACATAATTTTTCATGTCTCAACAAAATAATCAACCTTTCTCTATTTAATCCATTAAACTTTCTCTCTAAAAAACATGTATTAAAGAAAGGAATGTAAAGATCACTTTCTCATGAAACATTTATCATTTGGTTCCTTCTATAAGTGGAAGAACTAGGAAACAGGATGGTGTTGTCTTTGTAAAATCCCTGGGTCACGCTCTGTGCTTCCAATAAATGCAGAAACTCACTGAGCAGGCTATTAACCTAACAGCATGTGAAAACTATTTCACTGATTAGTTGTTAAAGTTACCATTCACTACAGAAAGCTCCTTATTTTAGCCCTCCAAGTGTTTCAGAACACTTTACCAGGCTTTCCAGACACAAGGGTGTTACTGGCAGGTGCTATAGAATTTTCCCTGTGTGTTAGCAAAACATAATTCATGCATACAGAGCTCTGGATGGATGGACTTTTCCAGCTGGGTGTCACACAATCCTTCCCTCATTCTCTGCCTCCTCCTTCAGAGGTGTCTGTGCACACAGACCACCCAGCAGACCAGCTGCCTTCTATTAACTTTTCCCTTAGTGTCTTTTTGGTTACTGTATGCTCCTGTAACATGGGAATTGGTTTCAGTTTCAGCAAGACTGACTAACTGTCCTTCAGGAAGGCTTGCTATCTGAGGTGATTTGACCAGAGGAATTGTCTCTGTTATAGATCTGACCAACAGGAATCATCCAGTTGCTTTCTCATTCTCCTGATTTTCAATGAATTAGCTACCATAATGCTCAAGAGGATGCACTGAGATAGTCACTGCCTGCTCATGCCTGTGACTGCATCCCACTGTTGCAGGCTCATTCCCTCCTTCAGCCCTTGTGCTCTCCCCCCAGAACACTGCAGATTCTGTAAGATAAGGCACAGAAGTTGTGCCGTTGTCTGCATTTCCCATCCATCACCTCAAGCTGATGTTCCCTGTAAACTGGCTGATAACTGACACTTCCCTCTTCTCTGGAAAAACCCAGCATTTCTTCAAGGCTTGGGTTGGAGCACTAACTCTTCTGCTATGCAGCAAGACCTTTAGCATTTAAGTGACCTTTAGCATTTAAAAGCCTCCAGCCATCCAAAGTGTGTACCTCAGACAATGATCCTTGCCATGAACAGTGCTACCCAGCTGTATCCACAGCACTAGAAAATTACAGCTGACTTGTCCACTGCTGAAAGTACATGAAGGCAAAACCAGCACTTATCAATTTTAACTGATTGAGCACATCAAAGCAATTAGGAAGACCTAGGCAAGCTACACCAGGGGCTGTAATTTCTTTCCACTACCATGTTTCACCGAGTATTTTGTGTTCTGATATAAAGTCCAATACAACATCAGGTATTTTTGATCAGTTTCATACCAGTGCTTCTAGGACCTCAGCAGAATGAAAACAATAAGGAAAAAAGGAAAGTAAAATGTATGGTAGGAAATCACATATCATTTTACAGGCCAAGCTTCTTGGGTTGCATCAGAACGTTTTCCAGAGGTTATTATAGTGGCAGGGAAATGGTGGGTGACTTTGGAAAACAAAGAAATGAGAAGAAAACTTGTCTAGTAGAAGAAACAGATGACACAACTAAGAAACAAGCTGTGGTTCAGTTCTTTTAGTGCTTCGGTATGTCTTTGACCCCCTTACCTCATCTGTTTTTGAGAGATTATAATTCTGAACTCACAGTGCTTTAGCCCAGTCTGTGAGCTGCTTCCACCCCACTACTCAGCTCTGACACAGATTCTATACCAACCTGTGGTGAGTGGAAAGGCCAATTTCTATTGTAGCAAATTAAATAAAATAACTTGAGTCATGCATGTTGAGGTACACAGGCCAGTACTATCCCATCAGCCTTCAGTTTTCATGTGATCACCTTAGGGGTTACTGTTAGAAGCAAGACATCCTAGACACTTCCTGGTTCACATGTATTGTAACTGGTAATAATTTGAATTTGAACAATGTGGTTCCAAGCGGAGAGTGGGTTTTGCTGAAGTTACTGTATAGGCATAGATTAATATGTCCAATACTGATTAGTAGTAGGAAATAAGGAGTGGCAAGACAAACTGATGCATCTGACAGTAATTGTTGAGTCTGTAATTTCTAAGATAGGTGCTTCCACATATGTAATTTGTGTATTTGGCAGTTAATCCTATCTACATATATCACCAAGACCCTCACAATTGCAAGGAATAATTTCAGACATTATAACTTTAAAATATCACAACAGCTGTGTTTGTTCCCCCTGACCGCCCCCCCCCCCCCCCCCCCCCCTTCTAATACCCTCATTCTCAAGCTCAGGCCCTGAATTTCCAAAAGCAGATCTTTCAGTACCCAAGGTGAAAACAAGAGAGGCAGCAAGTGTTACCTCGTGGAGCAATTATAACTTTCCAAGGGAGAACGATGACCACTGTTGCATTGCCTGGGTCATTTGCAGTTCTGTACAACCACACTGAAAGATTCTGTAGTTCAAATATGTAGCACGGACCTCCTTTAATGCTAATTCAACTCAAATACAAAATCCATGCTTTCTGCTGCATCTGCTTTAACATCTTTTCCTTTGTTTCCAGGTTGGACAGATTCATAGCTGCACTCCTGGTAATTAAAAAGAAATAGCTACAGAGATAACAACAGAAAACAGAAGTGACTTCTTTCTCCACAGCCCACAAAACCCATTCCCATGACTCATCACATCAGAACCCAGAAAAAAAAGCATATGATAGGAATAGTTCTTGTTAAAATTGCACATCCTAAAGCTCTATCAAGGCTGGGTGCAGAAGATTCTCCTTCCTGAAAATGTTTCAGTATGCTCCAGTTTCTGCAAAGGTCTGTGCTCAGCTGACGTATATGGAAGTAGTGGCATTTTCCTCATACCTGCACCCATCTCTTGGTAGTTGTTCTGTATTCATGATTACTGCAAATATTAGCAGTGATACATTAAGAGATAGTTCAGTAGTGCTTATTGGGTTCAGAAAATCCCTTGCATATAGAAAAAGAATACCCTAGAAGTCCCTAAGAAAATGCCAACTACAACCCTGGAAACTTCATGGAACAGCTAAGTTTCTGCGAAGGACATAGCTGCTTCAAATGGGCACCAGTTTAACAGATGCTTTCTGATTTATCATTCTCATGTAAGTTTTCCTACTCTTTTCTGTTTTCTAAAACTTGCCTCCATAGGCAATGCAATCAGTGTAGTTGTATAACTGCATAAGCAAAACTGTGGAGATACAAGAAAGTCTAAGTAAAGACTATTTTTCACTCTAAGTTACTTTATCCTGGTAGCACAATCACAGTTCCAAAACAATTTACCTTAAGATCAAAATATTTTCTTCCAGCAGGAAGCTGGAATTGTTTACCACAGATAAAAACACCAAGGAAAAAAACTGAACAAAAATAAAACACACTGAGTCTTGAAAAAGGCATAACAAGGAGAATTTGACCTTTTAAATGGAATTGTCTTTACAGACAACTCCTTCCATCTGAGATGTCCAGAGAACTTTTGACATTTTTTGACATTAGAAACATTTGCTTTTTTCCAACTTTAATTAATTTTCATATTTCACAAAACAAGGTAAGAGCAGGCACACTGTAACAAAGGACTTAAGACCAGATGATGCAACAATGGCAAACAGTACACTAGAAATGTTCCTGCATAGGAGAGGGTGAGGAGGAAGACTGGCTAGATGCATTTGACAAATTCATGTCTGTTTTGATGGACAGAAATAATTTTCATAATTCATTACAAAATCATACCTGTACTTAATAAAAAGAAACACAAATGCAGTCAGATTGTGTATCTCTTGGTGAATCTGGTTTGGACATTTATTTAAAGGAAGCACTGAAACAGGGAAGAGCAAACCCTGTGCACTTCAAACTCCAAGAAAAGTCTTGCATTTGACTTTGACCCGACAGAGGAACAGAAATGCAGGATAAAAAATTTTCAACACTATTTCCCCATCACTAGAGCTCACACTCTTGAATGGAATTTGCAAGAACCCAGAAAAAAAAAAAAAAAAAGTAGGTTTTAAGATACATAAAGAAATTAAAAGGTTAGACAGCTCCTGCTATGGTCAACAATCAGATCTTGAATTTCTGAGACAAACAACATTCCTCATTCTGCCTCAAGTCGAGGTAAGACAGGAAGAATAAGATTTCCAAATGCAGAGTCTTGAGTTATGAAGTATCCTGAGGAGTGTGCATGTGCGTGCTGGAAAGAGAAAAGCATTTGTTAAAGCATAACTCCCTGCAGCACTGACATGATTTAAGACTTCATGGCTTCTGCAGCATTATTTATTTCTCCCAGTTTTCTCCTTAATTCTGATAGTCAAATTCAAACCTAGCATTTTAGATCAGCTACATCAGAATAGGGCCCATCAACACAATTAACCTGGACACTCTCTTCTGCTCTTTTTAGCCAACCCCATGGAGGTGGAGCAAATCAACTCCTGATTGCTCTTCTTTGACTAGAACCCATGTTTCCACTACCATTCTTTTCCATAACCAGCTTGCAATTCTTGTTTACAACAGCTGCTACATGGAGTGCCACCAGACACAATCCCAAACACAGGACACCATGGGACACATATATCTACATCACATCATGGGATGTAGATATATGCTTGTTCATCTGAGGGAGGCAGCTGCTGTATGAACTCCAGCAAGTTAGATGTTCTGCATATTCCCTCCCGCCCCCACTAGGGAAGATCCCTGCTGGATCTCAAATTCAGCCTGAGCCTTTAGTGTGCCCTTGGAGTGATCAAGCCCAATTGGCACAGTGACCTGCACCAGTAACAGCGTGGCCAGCAGGCCAAGGGGAGCCCTCTGAGCTCAGTCTGAGATACAAACTGGAGGGAGTTCAACAGAGACACAAAGAGATAGCTGTAGGGCTGGGTGGAGCTCTCCACGCCCAAGGACATGTTTCTCATAACAAAAGAGACTTCACTTATGACAAATACAGAAATGAGAGATGCCTAATCTCTAAAAGGGGCTTTTCAATGTCTCTAGGAGCAGGGCTGCTCTCTGAAGGGATTCACATCTAAAACAGAGCCAAACTGAAGTCTGACTGTATCGGCTTACCTGCAGTGCAGCCTTCTGCTGTGCTGCAATATGCTGTTGCTCAGCATGATCACGGAAATCCTTATTCAGAGGTGATCTTGTAAGTGCAATGCTGCAAGAAAGGACAAGATGGTATGACACAGACCACATCCAAAACATGTGTTCTTGCCATTCTAGCCACGAATATTATGACTTCCTGAGCTCTCATTTCACTCGTGGCTTGACAATTGTCAGTTACTGTTTGGAATTACTATCTGTAAATCTAAGAGGAAAAAAAAAAGGGTAGATGGAGTGAGCACAGCTGTATAATTTGAGCCATCATAAACAATTCCTGCCAAACTAAACCTGAAGCCTATTATGGATTTTGCCTATGGGTTGAGTCCCACTGAAGTCAATGAAAGCACTGGGGTGCAGTGTTAGACAACGCAAGGAATTTCTAAAGCAGGTTTGTGCTTTCACCACTACTCAGTCACTGAGTGACTGTTCTAAACAACTGTGATAAAGATAAGCACTAACAAGAACTCCGCAGACTTCAGTACAAGAACAGGTCTTCGGTGGGAAGGAAGCAGTTCACTGCCTATGATAAAGGAGCTTCCTATTGATGTTAATTGAAATAATGATCCCTTGGTAAGAGTTTGGAGTACCTGAAATTGATTGAGCGTATCTATCTCACTGCAGCATAAGGTTTCAAATTAAAATTTACTGATGTTTTTTCTTTTAGTTTAAGTCTTTTCTACCTTAGGACTTGTCTGCCTTCTTAACCCAAAAATAAGACATAAAAAGCACTCCTGACTCTATATATAAAAGTAACATGGAGATCAGGTGAGGGTTGCCATTAGAGCTGTATCACAAGACAATTCTCACTACCTCTGAGACTGTCACTGGAGACTGCTGCTGAAAACCCTGCTCTTACCAATCACAGAGACAGAAGTACAAATGACAAGGATTCCAAGAAAACTCATCAACTGAATTTTACCAGCTGTTTCAATGTCAACAGCTGATTTAGTAAATCAGTTTTTGAGAAGCAGCCATGCTCATGATAAGATTTGCAGCCAAATCTATGCCTAAATGCATAACAAAAGCTAAACAATTCAGAAAAATTTTGCTTATGGCAAATATTAAGGTAAGTTTCACTGCTGGAGAAGAGTACTACTCAGTTTATTTAAAACAATATCTTCAGTGATTTTGGAGGCATTTAGTTTGCAATTTGTAATCTGTACACTCTAACTTTTCAATAAGATTTTTGTAGATAAGCTTAAGACTCCACCATAAGCTGACATTTTCCAAGAGAGGTCTTCTGTTCTTTCTTATGAAGTGAAAATCTTCAGGATTTTCACCTGCCAAGTACAGAAATCAATTAACTCATTCACCCTTACATTGTCCCTGCCACTGTTGTGCTTTAGGTACATCAAGCGCTTTTGGTCAAGTTTGCACCATTTTTATGGTCTCAATTTTGACAATTCTGTGGTCCAAAGCCTTCGGCACAACATCAAAAAACTGGCTTCCCAAAAAATCACACATCAGCCCACCACACCAAAGTAGAGCGTGTGACTGCTGCATTTTATGTTCCACCCATGTCCACCTTCAAAACTAGAAAATTCTAATTCAGCTCACTAGAATAGAGTTGTATTTTCTTAAAGAAAAAAAAGAGAGCAAAGAAGCACTCCCTAAAGCTCTGTCAGACTTATAATAAAGCACAGAAACACTGTTGCCAGGAGCTGTACACAACAGTATGATATTCTGATTTTCTTTCCAACAATTTTGCTCAAATAATAACAACATAAAGTTCCTGATTGTAACTTCTTACCTCACTCAGAAGTCTACATCAGGCAAGTATTCTGCATGTTTTTTGACATTATGAAGGAATTAAAAATGCCATGGGATGTCTTAGAAGAAAAGAAATGGCAGCACTCAGACTCTAGTCAGAGTATTTGACTCTTGTACAGGTGTTTTGGGTTACACTGTGTCTAGAATGTGACACTGCACTCACTTCACCATAACCCCGAAGTTTAAGGATGTCAATTTCTCCACATAAATTACTGTGTGATTTTCTGGTTACTGATTTATGACAAAAATCTGATTTTCTTGTCTTGTATGTGAGAAATCCTGGTACCACCCTTCAGCTCAGATTAGACTATTACACTTTACGGTGTAGAATCACACCTACAACACAGCATCTTTTACAGGATAATCTTATAACATACACTGGCATTGTCTTGCACATAGGGAGTTTCAAGAATAAGTCACTCCAGCTGTAATTGCTCTTCTCTAAGCACACAAAATCCTGAACCTAATGGTCTGCTACTTCCATTCCCCAGAGCATTTCAGCTTAATAATCAAAGTTTTCTCAGTGTCTGCTTCCTGATTTTTCTTTATGGTAGACTTTAATAAATTTGAGTAAGCATATCTGATTCTCTCATTCTCAAATGGAAATTATATAAGCCAAAATTCATGCTATGTAAACCACTTTAAATACTAATATGTTCCTAAAGAGAAATGTCCCCCTGCCTTGTACAGATGGTCAGAATTCACTTCTGTTAAGAATTGATATAAGTTTACAGCTCACTAGCTGTTTGGCTTTTTTTCCTTGATGTAATCAGTGATGCCCCAACAGGTCTAAGAACATAATACCTGGCTCCAGGGTGATTTGTGGAAGACTGGTTTTGCATAAGTAACTTTCTCTTCTCCTTGTCTAGTTCTGCCAGGATTGCAACCCTATTTTTATTCTGGAAACCTGGTGAGAAAGAATGACAGAAAAATATTAAGAGACATTTATTTGACTTCTGTGGCCCAACTCTAACCCTGTGGAATTAGAGGTCCCTGTAGAAAATTACTCTAAGATGAATACACTGATCTTCATTTGAAAATACTATTATTAAATAGGCTACATTTTTCAGCATGCAATAGCTTCCATAAGCTATTATGCAAAACAGAAGCTTTAACTCAGAGGCTTTAAAACAGAGGCTTTTAACTCAAGTTAGAGCTTATCACTTCCCAAGCCAGATCTGGAGCTACAATCAAGGTTTACGATCAAGTAGCTGCCTTCCGAAAAGAAGTAAACTTACCAGGTTCTAAATTTAAAAAGTAGTCTCTGAATGTTCAACTCAACAATAACAATGGAGTAATACATGCATAGGGCTTAATTTCTCATGTCAGTGAACTCAAACTGTAACACAAGCATTTTATATATATATATAACAGCTAAGAATGAGCAAATCACTAAGCATGTGCATGTGTTTATTCAAATGTTTCATTCAATCTATGAAGAAAAGTTTAAATATAATGTGTCCTATACTACTACTCTTGTTCTGAGTATGGTCAAATGCTGGAATAGAGATGCAAATTTAAACTATTAAACTGTTTAAGAATATAAGAATGTGGCCTCCATTTACTTTCATCATTCTCCAAAGTGACTCTGAATACGACAGAAGGGGTCAGGAAGTAGGGTGACTTGAAAGAATTTCAAAAATGCCCAGAATAGCTGCCATCTATGTTTTTTTCAAAGTTGCCTTCTAAATGCAAACATGGCAAACTCCTGTACCTACACAGGACTCATATAATAAAGGATCTCACTTCAGCCCTTCAACAAACCAGATGCACAAGCCCCTGCTGTTGCCCAGTGTGCCCAAACAGCACAGCTGAGGACAACAGCTCCAGAGCTGACTCTTAGCCACCTCTATGCCACCAAGGACACTCCTCATATCAGAAACACACACTTCTTGAATCTCTTATTTGCTGCTGTTCTGCAAATAAGAAGTTATGACAACATTATTAAAAAAAAAAAAAAAAAAAAAAAGATAGGTAAAAGTCAAGCTCTCCTTTATTTCCACCACGCAAAAGGTCCAAGATTCCCCCTGGAAATTGCTGCATGCCATGCCCTGCCCTGCACACTGTCTTAGTGACAGCATTAAAACATTGTAGCCCACAAACTGTGAGGAAGGCCACATATGGTAACTCGTAAGGAGAGTATTAGCATGTCAAGGTAAAATGATTTATTTTCAGTAGCTGCACTCAAAGTTCATCCTCTTTGACAGACCTTGTGCTGATGCTCAGTTACATAATCTAGTATCCCTTTTATCTACATGGCTTAATGAAGGAGACAATCACCAGAGAAACCTTCAACTCTAAATAACAATATACATCTGTACTGCCTTGCTATCAAACTCTCACCTTTTTCTTCTACTACACCTAATAAAAACACATACCCATAAACTTCAGTGTCTCAAGAGTTCTCAAAAGGAGCACAGCCTTTTGTTTATATTGTACTATGGTTTTATGTAAGATCATCCACAATAATTTTGACATTTGTTAATAAAATATTCATTACAATTAATTAACATTTGTTAATTAAGATTTTCATTAAATTTAATTTAACTAAACTCTCCTTCCTATGTGGCATTAGCTCCACTTAAACTCTGTTTGGTAAGAGTACTGATTCAGGCCTTGGATATTTCTCTGCTCTTTGGGTATTGCACACTATCTCTTATTTTTTTTCTAAGACTTTGCGCTTGCAATGAGTCTGAAACCTTAAAACAGAGCTGACACACAAAGGCTGACAAATCTTGCCAACAACCTAGGATTTAATATCTCTGAGCTGCAGCCAGCCCAGACTTTACTTTCTTGTAAATTCTGGAGACAATGCATGGATAGGATGACCAAATCACCTCTTAGAGGGCCTGACCTAAAACAAGCATATGTTTGTGTGCTCGTTCTACACAATTTTAATCCAAAAACCTCACATTTATACTTGACCTATTACTGAGCATCCTTCTGATACTGCTTCCTTATCCTGAACTGCATAAATTTAAATGCATGCTCGGAATTCACAAGATATGATGCTTAAGGAAAGAAAAAGGAGACCACTTTTTATGTAAGTTTGTGATCTAAAAAAATAAATATTAAATATGCTTAAATTTATCATGAAGCAGATGGTATGATTCAGAAAAGCCTGAGACATTTTAAATGCTGTTTTTAAACTGTAATCAGAAACAGCAGAAGACTGTCTTCTATTTTGAGTCTTGTTACAGTACCTTGTGGAAGAAACTCTAGAGGTATTCAGAAGAAACCCAAGTATCTTTTCTTTCCATATACCTCTACAAAGAGCTTTGTTGTGTGTTTTTTGATTGTTTGTTGCTTGGGGCTTTTTTGTAAAGCAGTATTTTGCACTAGAGTTCAGACAGTGACCATCAGCAACCTGCTGTGCTGAGAAAGTAATTTCTCTAAGAGAATTTGTTATTGGTAAGGAGAAAAAAGCCTGTTTAAGAAACTGGAGGAGTATATATTCAACATATACATATCAATACTTTGCATCTGAGCAACGTGATCTTCCTGCAGGTAAACTTCTTCAACATGCAAAGTAAAGGTTGTTCATTTAAAGGTTAACAATGGAGGGTGCAAAACAGGAGAAATCAATTTTACAGAGAAATTCTGGCATCCTTAGAAAGTAATTAAGCATATCTGGCAATAAAAAACAATACTTTAATTTAGATTCTTCCCTGTTAAGGACCCAAAATGCTTTCATAAAAACCAATTTGAAACTCCTACAGAAGTTTCCCACTTCAATTATAAATAAGAGTAATATTTCATCTGCAGGTTTGTCTGTTCTGCTTTCTAGTACTGAAAATGTGAACATGCAAAAATCAAAAGCTGTCCTTAGTACAGACCAGATTCCCATCTGTTAAAGCCAGTGAAGATTTTCAAACACAGGAACTTCCTAATAAAGCTTTACATTTAAGACCTCTCTTTACTGGGCTGAGTTGCACTAATATTTTGAGTTCGAACAGTTTGAATATTGCAGTTTATAAATATTTTTCTCTGCTTTGTTGACATGACTCCTGACACAGAATGACCTGTTCAAGGCAGCTAAATAGATCAATGGCACTGTCAGATGTCAAACTGAGCACCTAGATCCTCAGATTACTCTCTAATGTAGCCAATTCAGGACATGTAGAATTTAAACCTTTCTGAAACCTCTATTTTTGACATCAAGCATTGTATCTGTGCAGGACCTGAAAGATTACTTGCACCTATTATCTGCACGTGAAAGGCAGAATGCCAGATAAAGCTGAAACCTTGTTGAGTGATACTGGCAGCTTTCAGAGCTCCCAGCAAGCCTTTCACTTTAACCTAAGCTCAACATTTTATCTACCACCCTAGCTAACTGTTACCTTTGGCAGTTCTTTGAACTAACTCTGCGTGGCAAGCAACACCGTTACCTTTATTTGTTTTTAATTTTTTGCTTTTCATTGATTATCTTTTCTCCTTGTGATCTTTCCTTGACTTGTTGTTCCAAATTCACAAAAAACATTTAAGTTTTTTCCAAGATTCACCATTTATCATTTATCTACAGATGTGTAACAGCACTAAAGAACCCTCCATTAATTTGTGTCCAAGATACACTTTTACTCAGAAGATGTTTTCAAAACTGTATGTTAGCTCCAAGCTCTGAACATTGAAAGGCACTGCATTTTGTCCTGCCTGCTCAATTCAGAAAGGACTAAAAGTTATTTCTTTACTGAAGTGCATGTTTCTATAAATGGCAGCATTCATGAAGTGAGGCAGCACCCTCTTAAAAAACAGGATCTGAAGATCTTATTAAACACACACCACTTGTGAAGAAAATGGAGTAATTCTAGTTAGAGATCCTCTTCTGCTTATGATGACTGACATCTCAAAACATCATCTAACAGTCTGCTGCATGCCAATACTCCAGTAACAATTTATATCTGGATATGCTTTCATATACTTTGTGTGACAATGAAACAAAACATGTACTGGTCATTCAGTAAATAAAATTGAATTACTTAACAATACATTAGTACTTTGTCTGTGCCTCCAGAAAACAGCTACGTACATAGCTGAATATAAGTAATTGACAGCTTTACGGCTGTGAAGTTCTCAAGTACTATGCTTACACTCAGATCAGACTCAGATGGGGAAGAGCAAACTGTGTAGGTGATGACATAATTTAATGCATAACAGCACAATCTTCTTTTTCAAACTTGGTGAAGAGAGAGCAAAATCTAGCTGCTCAGACTGTGCTAAGTGAATGCCCCCACATACCTTTAGGGAAAAGCATAAAGAACTTTCAGGACATAAAGAGACTCTAGAACTGCTGCAGCCTGAAACTTAGAATTCTGTTCAAATTTCAAGAGCTTTGTCTTCCAACATACCAATAAGAACTCTAATTTTCTGAAATGTTCAGCCCTATCTGAAACAGGATCTGTATCTTTTCCACCTTTGAGGACCAAAAGGAGAATTCTGTCCTGAGCAGTTACATTTACATTTCTCTCATGTCAGACAGCTTCCTCTAGGATTTATACACAGACTGGCTAATTCAGTCACACACAAGGCTCTGGCCTTGCTGCACACCAGCAGAGGCATTCCACAAGAGCAGCCTGATGAATGCATGTTGCCTAAGTACTGTGAAGTACTGCAGTAGGAGCAGTGTATTCCTGAGCACCTGGAAGTATTTGCTGTAATTCAGAAGCTGATTTCCACCCATCAAAGTGTATCACTCTGGTCAATGAGTTCATCTGGTGGACAATGCACAGCATACAGCAAGATCTTCCATTGCTGGTAAATGCCACAGTCAGTCTTGTGCCATCAGCTCCCTGTGGCACTAGTTAACAGAAATAAGACCTTTCATTCAATTCTTTTTGGTTTTTCTGCACTCATATGCAGCTCACCACCAAGAGTGCTTTTCTAAGAGGTTGACGAATAAAAGTCTGGTCCAAAAAATCTTAACTTTTATAGTCCAAATCTGTAAACAGTGGAAAACTCAAGTTTACTCCTAACAAAATACCTGATATAAATCAAAGGAAGAGCAGTAATTTGGTACAAAAAATTCCCATCACAGTCTACCGGTGTAGAAGGCTAATGTTTAATTCATCCTTACAGCTCTGCTTGAGTAAGTGCTACCATTCATATCCCTCCTGGTGAGCATTTCAGTAAACTTGCATTCTTTTTGTCCAAGTGAATGGATTCCTTGAACAGTACTAATACATATGCCAAGAGGCAAGCTAAAAATGCAGTGTTTTTCACAGTCCTCTTCACTACTAGACTGTGTCTACCAAAGATAGAAACCCTGAACTGTTGTTTATATTTACCTGGTCCTTTCTAATTTTCCTAGTTGTACTACTTATAGGCTTATTTGTTAATTAAATTTGACAGTGTTTCTTGTCTCCTTAGTGCAAACAATTTTCAAATAATAACTACACAGCTCCTTTAAGGAGTCTGTAAAGGATATCTCAAATATAAAAGATTCCAAGTCTCTATGAAGTTATAAGACTCTGGAATTGGGAGGGAAGCAAAGGTATTCTGGCACTGAAATCCCATCTCTCAGTAAACCAACATATTTAAGCTTTTAACTGTCTATGACAACATCCTATTCCTTGCAGTGATGCTGATTTGGTATTCACAGAATAAAAGCAAGATTTACCATTATGTACCAAAAACTTTCTCAGTTAAAATTTGCAAACAGACAGCTCTGCAATCTGCAGCACTTCTCTCTCAACACCTCATAAAATCTCAAAAGGCATTCCTGAAACTACTTCCTTTTCATCAAGTAGCAAGTAAAATCTGTGTTTTGGACTCCCTACAAGTCATACAATACCCCCTGAAATATCATCCAGCAACACCAAGGTTTGCAGGACTGCTTGAGGTAAGGACACAAAACACAGACCTGCAAAAAGTCTCCACTTGCTGGGAAACTGAACCCAGAATTCATTTCCCATAACCAAGTAAGAGAAGAGCCATACCTGAAAAGATTTTTCCCCAGCTCTTCCACCTAAGAAAAGCCTCAGAGTTCCCCTAAGGTTTCCAGAAATCACCTCTAGAGGGCGATTTAAGATCCTCCTTCAAATTTACTAGGCGACAACTCCAGACCCTCAGCCCCCTCTAAAGCACATCCATCACCTGGATAGATGGACCATTACTAAGATTGTTATTATTTTAAGGATACAACTTGAGATGCATCTTAGTATAAAGGAACATTTCATCGCAGTTACCATTATGGTTTTAACTGACTTTTTCTCCTAGGTCTGGCCAATTGCTGCCTGTGATAGATATTACCGCCTGGGTCTTGCTATTCCCAACATGACATGGAATGTATTTGACTTCTGGCTGTTCTCTGATGTTGAGTGCAATAGCTGCAAGTCATGTCCAAGGCCAAGTGTCTGAGTGTCTTGTAAGTGTGTGAAATAAGCTTCTGCAAATGATCACTGTACCACAGGCATGATACATACTTCCTAACCCTGAGCACAATACTATGCTCAGTAATAAAGAGCTTCCCAGCCCTCAGTGGTCTTTTTCAAACCTTAAATGTGTGTGTACCTTGTCCCAGAAGAATAGCTGCCATTGTGCTTTCAGCCCCACTTCTCATGCCCTTCTTCATCTTTCCATAAAAATAAACTTACAGTTATGGTGACTTCACTGATATTTTGCATTTACTTTTCCCTTAAATACTTAAATTAAAACCTACCTTGTCCTGAAGGATTTGCTGCCATCCTTCAACTTTCAGCCCTTGTTTTATTCAGCTGGAGTTCAAATCTTTTAACCCCCACAAATATCTGCAAAACAGGTGCAATATAAGATGAACATACTCCTTTAAAAGAAGAGCTTGGAATTCAATCTGTTGGAGACTTCATAAATATGGCAACTGTTAGAAAGCACAAGCCGAACACAGCATGTGTGTTGCTTAAAATGTATTATACAGTTTATACTGCTCTGCTGAAATTTCAGGCTTGAAATACCAAGGATTGTGATCAATAACTTTTTTCAGATTCTAGTAATTTCTACTAGTAGAACTAGTAGTAACTTCTTGCAATTTCTATTCTAGTAAAAAATAGTATAGATAATTAGAGTCACACACCCATTTTCCCAACTGAACTTCTTCCTGACAAGGTTATGTCAGGCTACACTTAAGAATTACATCAAACCTTTGTAATCCTTAAAAGCTGAAGCCTTGGAGGAACCCAGTTTAGGCTCTGACTCAAGAAAAACTGATTGTTTGAGAAGAGGCAATTTAAATCCCAGATACAAGGCCAGCCAGAGTTGGCTGCAGCTGTGGCAAAACAAAAAGGAGGCCCGCTCCTCTGTCCCACGTCACCTCGGACCACCATGAACATCTGTTTCCATCAAGGTGCCAGGCTGTACAGTGCAGCGGCGAAGAGCTCCGGCTCAGCCAGGCGGAGACGAGGGATGGGAACGCTGAATCCTGCAGGAAACGTGAAGCACAATCAGTCACACTTCCACAGGAGACCGTGTCACCGCTGCGCCCTGGCCCTGCGGATCCCTGAGCAGCAGCGCTGCGGTGAATTAGTAACTCAATGACAGTATTAATTAAGCGCAGTGAGAGCGGTCAGGATGGGTTTCTCCAAGAGCCATGGATGGCCTGACGCACTCCGGCCGCTGCCCACCTTCCCCCCAGCACTCGGGAATGCACTCTCCCGCTCCCTTTCCCCTCCCGCCCACAATGGACGGACGGATGGCCTCCCCGGCTCTCTCGGAACCGGCGGCGATGCCCAGCCCAGCCCAGCTGGCCTCGCTCAGGCCCCTGCAGCCCCGCCGCCACCCACCTGCCCGAGGGGCTCCGGCTCTCCTCACACCGCTCGCCCTTCCCGCAGCGCGGCCCCGCCGCTTCCGCCCCTGCCCGTGACGTCTCACAGCGCGACAGCGCCCGCACCCCGCACCCCCCACCCTCTTCCCACCCCTGCTCTCTGCCCGCCTCCTCCTCTCTCTCTGCCCGCCTCCTCCTCTCTCTCTACCCTCCTCCTCCTCCTCTCTCTCTGCCCGCCTCCTCCTCTCTCTCTGCCCGCCTTCTCTTCCTCTCTGCCCGTCTCCTCCTCCTTTGTTTCCGCGCCCTCCCTTCGCCCTGCCCACGGACGGAAGGGTCGGGTTGTGCGTGGGGCGCCTGCGCCGCGTGTGGCGTTCGGCCCTAGGGCATCGTTTGCTTGTGGTTGCTCCTGCCGTGGGCATCCGCCCGGGGACAGAAGCAAACGCCAGGGTTTCACGCTTGGGGACTCCAGGCAGCATCGAGGTTCAATAGTAAAAAAACCCAAACAAACCCATAAGTGGAAGGGAAGGGGTCACGGAATCAGGTTGGAAAAGACCTCCGAGGTCATGGAGTCCAGCCTATGACCCAGCACCACCCTGTCAACCAGACCATGGCACTGAGTGCTACTTCCAGTCATCGCTTAACACTTCCAAGAACTCTGACTCCACCACCTCCCTGGGCTGCACAGCTCATTCCAAAATCTAATCGCTCTTTCAGGGAAGAATGTCACCTGGTTCTTGGGGGTTGACACACACTTGAGGGTGTGTCCTCTTACCATGTTACTTTTTTCTCTAATCTGCCATGCAGATTGTGTAGATTGTGTTTGAACACAGCAGCAATATTTGGAATTAATTCCAGAGAGGTTTGTTCATGGAATTAATGCATGATTTGCTTTTGGAATGTCAAGTAACAACGGTATAGATGAGGGTATCTGATTAAGTGATCTGGTCTGACCTGGGGAATAAACCTTAGTCTTAAAGCAGCAATCTGAGACTTTTTATACCCTTCTGGTTTAAATACTTATTTGAATCAAACCAGACTGAGTAGCAGCTGTAGCTTTGATTCTACATAAATCAATTATTAAGGGCTGCCATAAATAAATAAAGACTACATACAGGTGGGGCCAATTTCAATCTTTCTGTAGCCAAAAATCAGTCACATTGTCTACTTCAGTTTTATATGCAAGGGTTTTTTTAGGCACTAAACAATTTTCATGAAATAAAGGCCCTTTTTCTTCTTTAACTGAATGTAAGGATAAGGACAGGAAATCAGTTACTTTTTTTATTACTTAGTTCAAGATGTCTATGTAGACATGCTTTTACTGCAGGATATTATATTTTTTAATATTAAGGTTTTGATGGTGTATGTAGCAGGCACTTCTGAGCATATGATCCTTACAGCAAGGGTGACATTGGATCTAGTAGTCAACTCTTCTACCTGCTGCAGGATATTTTATTTCATCTCTTTTCTCTTTCATCAGATACTTGAAGTCCATAACCTCCTCACTCTTCAGGCCTAAAGTGGAAAAAGTGCTTATTAAAAACTGTTGATTTAGTTACAATGGAATTACTTTTATTGCTAAGAACACACATAGGGTGTATACGGTGTTAAATATGACACTAATTCATTAGTTTGGACAACTACATATATACAGAAATATTGAAGGCAATTAACAATTTCTAAAGATCTGATGCAGCCAGCTTTACTAGATCATGAAGAAATAAATTACATTTTTGAGAGTGTACAGAATACATAAAAATCTTGTCAGTATCTATTACAATGGATAAATTTGTCTCAAAATGGCGTGCCTTAGTATTATACATATGGATTCCATGAGATAGGCAATAATCTGCTAACCAAGTATGCTGTCCTTCCATTTATACTTTTCAAAGACTCACACAATGTTTAACATTTGTAACACTGAACAAATTTTGTCTGGAAACTTGTGATGTCCAGATGTAGAATTTGGTTACCTGGATTGTTTGCCTGATAAAAGCAGTGTGTGAATGTGTGTTTGTGTAGGAATGTGTGAGTGGCTGTACCCAAACCAGCAGACAATCTCAGGGAGTTTTCTGTTTGCTTTAAAGCCCTGTTGATTAAAACTGTGGGAAGCAAACATTGCTGCCATTCCCACATACTTGTATTTTTGTCACCTGTTCTCTTTGCATGAACAGCTGACTGAGCACCTGCCCTCCTCATTCTGTTTTGGTATTGTTTTTTGTTTTGTTTCATTTTGTTATTTCTCATTCTGCCTTTAGAAATATCATATGTGCTATTTTTTTTTCCCTTTTAATTATTCCTTGGATGATTTGTAGACCATTTTATCTAGACACCTCTCCTGCAGTGGTTAATTGCTGAGGAGCAGGGTGAGTGAAGAGCAGCACAGCATCCAAACTAATAATCCTACCTGGTGCAATTCTCTGTGCTATCATTCCAGGACCGAGGATGTAAGGTGATTCTGAAAAGATGCATTTAAGGCAGACAGGCCTACCTGCTGTACTCCTCTCTACACAGCTAACCGTGGTAAAAAGAATTAATTTGTGGAAAGTGGTCCTTGTTTGAGGATCAATAAAGGAAGACAGAGAAGGAAGAAGAAGCAGGCCAAGGAGGAAGAGTCATCAGCGAGGAAACTCAGGTGAAGAAAAGCTGGGATTCACTAATTCTGCATTTCTGTACAAGTATGATGAATGTTGATCATAGCAGTAACTTCGAGCATCTCTACAAAAACATGATCATGCCTCAAGTCAAATGATCCCTTGGATTTGGGAGGAGTTTAACATCCATATATTAGCAATTAATTTGTCCTTGGGTTGTAGAAACAGGGAGAAATGTAACCCTTTAAAGGAATGGTGTCTAATCTCTGATGTGTCAGAATACTTTGCCTGAAACTACTCTTTTTTGTTCAGCATAAGCAAATAAAAAAATAAAATAAAGCATTTATAGTATGTCTTTTGGAAACCCATTACAAAATCTTCACTTTAAAAGGAGGCCATTTTTGAACACTGCTTCACAAATCTTGCTATGCTCTTCCTTCCGGAAATAAAATGCTTTTTTTCAGGCTGTCTGTTCTCATCATCTTGGAGTAGAGGAAGCTGTGTCCTAGGTTGACTGTATGATGCCTTTATCCCCAATCGTCTGCTCTGTTTATATTGAATAATAAGTTCTACACCTTTAAAACTTGTTCCAGGAGTGAAAGGGAGGGGGGAAGAAGCTCGGAGTTTGTTTTCAAGAACTGCACTCCCTCCTCCACATTCCTGCTCCTGGACTGTGTCGTCTGCGGATGGACAGAGAGAGAGAGAGAGAGAGAGCTCTCCTTTTTTCTTTTCCTAGTTAGTTTTAGCTAGCTGAGGCGAAGAAGTTCCCTGGACTGTGTTTTTTTCCCTTTCTCTGGACCTGCTCTGGACTGAACACCCAGAAGAGCAGCAGCAGCAGCACCTGTGGCCCAGCGGGCCGGGCCTGGGCCGTGGCATTTCCAGCGCCGGAGGGACTGATCAGAGACTGAGTGAGCCCAGCTGCAACCCTGGAGATTTTTCCTGAATTTGTCTCTCTCTTGGGGTGGCGAGAAGTTTTATTGTTTAATATTGTTTAAAATTGCTTGTTTAATAAACAGGTTTTTTCCACTTTTCTCCAAAGAAGTATCCTTCCCGAACTGGTTGGGGGGGGAGGGGCCAATTGAGTCTGCTTTCCTAAAGGAAACCCTTTAAGGGTTCTTTCCCCAAGTTTGACCTGAACCAGGACAGTGTCCCATTATATAAACAAAAGCTGTCTTAAACTGAAAATAGTTCTGAATGAATATAAACTGCAACACGGAAACACGGTGGGATGACTCACATAGCTAAAGTGCTGCACTGAATGGCTACAGGCTCTTCAGAAGAGACAGGAAGTGGAGAAGAAGTGGAGGATCTTTATATTAGGGAGGCTTTTGATGCTATGGGTATTGAGACTAATGATGAAGAAGTTGAATGCCTATGGGTAAGAATTAAGGGGTAGGCCAGCAAGGCTGACATCGTACTGGGAGTCTGTTATCATCCATCCAGCCAGGAAGAAGAGGTGGACAACTCATTCTATAAGCAGCTGGAGAACGTTTCAGGATCACCAGCCCTTGTTCTGGTAGGTGACTTCAACTTGCCAGACATCTGCTGGAAATTTCATACAGCACAACAGAGATAATCCAGGAAGTTCTTAGAGTGTGTGGAGGACAACTTTTTGTCACAGCTGGTGGTGAGCCCACCAGGGGAGGGACTCTGTTAGACCTGTTTATTTGCAAATATGGGTGGGCTGGTGGGAGATGTGGTAGTTAAAGGCCACTTGAGGTGTAGTGATCATGAAATTATAGAGTTCTTGATATTTGGTGAAATTAGGAGGAACATCAATAAAATTTTTACATTAGACTTCGGGAGGGCAGACTTTGGGCTATTTAGGAGATTTACTTAAAGATTTACTTGGGAAGCTGCCCTTAAAATTAAGGGAGTCCAGGAAAGGTGGGCGTGCTTCAAAACAGAGATCCTGAGGGCACAGGAAGAGACCAGACCATCCCTGTGTGCCGTAAGATGAGTCGGAAAGGCAAACGTCCAACCTGGATGTACAATGAGGTTTTGAAGTAACTTTGGAATAAAAAGAGGATGTATCATTATTGGATAGAGGGTTAGGTTTCTCAGGCGGTATTCAAGGGGGTTTCTATGGCATGTAGGAAAAAAAACTAGAGAGATCAAAGCTCAGTTGTAACTAAATTTGGCAACTTTTCTAAAGGATAATAAAAAATGTTTTTTTGATAAATATATTAATGGCAAAAGGAAGGTTAAGACCAACCTTTGTTTTCTACTGGATGGGCGGGAACATAGTAACTGCAGATGAGAAGGTGGAAGTGCTTAATGCCTTCTTTGCCTCAGTCTTTAGTGGTAGGACAGCTTCTCCTCAAGACAGCTGTCCTTCTGGGCTGGTAGATGGTGTCAGGGAGAGGAATGATCCCCCTATTATCCAGGAGGAGTCAGTCAGAGAACTGCTGAGCCGCTGGATGTTCATAAGTGTATGGGCTCAGCTGGGATCCATCCCAGGGTGATGAGGGAGCTGGCAGAAGAGCTTGTGAAGCTGCTTTCCATCATTTACCTACAGTCCTGGCTCACTGGTGAGGTTCCAGATGACTGGAAGCTGGCCAATGTGACACCCATTCACAAAAAGGGTGGGAAGGAGGATGCTGGTACTTACAGGCCAGTTAGCCTGACCTCTGTACCCAGTCAGGTTATGGAGCAGTTTATATTGAGTGTCATTGTGCAGCACTTACAGGATGGCCAGGGTATCAGACCCAGCCAGCGTGGGTTTAGGAGGGGTAGGTGATGTTTGACCAGCCTGGTCTCCTTTTATGACCAGGTGGCCTGCCTGGTAAAAGTAGGAAAAGCTGTTGATGTTGTCTGTAGAGTTGTGTTTGCACTGTATATCTCCTCTCTATATGTTTGGTTCATCCCGGTTTTCCCATCAGTACCTGCATGTCCATCAAACCCCAACCCATCCCCCTGTCTCCTCCCCGGTGATGTGTCCATCACCTGCTGACCACTCCCCTTTGTCCAGACCCTTCTCCCAGGGTCACCAGGTAACTGGACCCTGGCTGGGACTCCTCCCTCACCCCCTCCTCAGTGGTCACTCTGAGGCTTTGCCCCCAGAGAGCCACTCCCATGTCCTTCCCCCTTTGGCTGGTCAGGCTTACCCTGCCCTCTATATCTGGCCGGTTTGGGCGGGGACTCAGCCTCTCTCGCTCAGAACTCCTTCGAGGCGACATTAAAAAACCTTGGAACCAATCCTGAAGGGAGAGCGCCTCTTTCTTCGCTTGTGGGACTAGCTCGTCTTTGGACTCACGTGGGGCTTCTCCAGGCCCTCTGAGATTCCAGGAGAAGCCCTTCCCTCTGCCTGCCTCACCCCAACTGCCCAGCTGGCCGGGCTCCACTGGGAACACCCGTGGATTTGAGGGGTGGACGCAGCAGTTGTCTATGTGGACTTCAGCAAGGCCTTTGACACGGTCTCCCACAGCACACTCCTGGAAAAGCTGCAGCCCATGGCTGGGACAGGAGCACTCTGGGCTGGGTTAAGAGCTGGCTGCATGGCCCGGCTCAGAGTGGTGGTGAATGGTGCTGCATCCAGCTGCGGCTGCTCACCAATGGTGTCCCTCAGGGGTCTGTGCTGGGGCCAGCTCTGTTCAATATCTTTATTGACGACATGGATGAGGGTTTTGAGTCTTTCATTAGTAAATTTGCAGATGACACTAAGCTGGAATCATGTGTTGATCTGTTGGAAGGTTGGAGGGCTCTGCAGAGAGACCTGGAATAGTTGGATGGATGGGTAGAGTCCAGTAAGATGGTGTTTAATAAGTCCAAGTGCCAAGTCCTGCATTTTGGCCACAATAACCCCTGCAATATTATAGGCTGGGGACAGTGTAGCTGGACAGCGCCCAGGCTGAAAAGGACCTAGGGGTGCTGGCAGCCGGCTGAGCATGAGCCAGCAGTGTGCCCTGGTGGCCAAGAAAG